TCAAATAATTGAGAATCTGATTGAGCCTCCACACTGCAATGAACTAAATGCCAAATAGAAGATAAAGAAAAGTTTTCTTACTGCTTTTAGTAGTGCGATCACCAGCACCTATATATACATGAAAAAACAAGTTATAAATTACTAACTCTAAACATTCTTTATAACTCATTGTAGAGATCCATAAACGAAAAGAGCTATTAGACAATTTTAAGAAACATATTTCGGACAAGAAATATATTCATGGTAAAGATGAACTTAACAAAGGATTTACGTCATAAGATTTACCTAAATTTGAAGCCGAAATAGTATCCATATTCACCATTTCACTAAAGCAGAAATCATAGAGATCCAGAAATGAAAGAGCTATCAGACAATTTTAAGAAACATAATTCGGACAAGAAATATATTCACTTCTAAAAATGAAATTAATAAACGATTTACATCATAAAATTAATTACCTAAATTTGAAGTCGAAATAGTGTCCTGATTCACAGTTTCGCTGAAGCAGATATAGTAGAGATCTGGAAACGAAAGAGCTAAAGGAAAACATGTGAGTAAAAAGAAGATATTAAATTACTTTAATTCATAGTCATTCTCTAGGCATACAAACCAAAATGCAACAATTCCGCCATATTTACTCTGCAGGAAATAACCACTTGATCATGTGAGTTTAGATATAACAAAATATAACACAGTTCCAAACAAACACAAGAGTAATTTGGCAATCATAACACGAAGCAGGGATCTCAATTTAAAAAGGTCCAACTAATTTTACTCTACGGTAAACTCGCAAAAATACCTATGCTAACAGAAATAGAAATAAACTCAAAACCATTGTTTTATTTTTTCAATGAAAAAGATCAACATTACTAAAATTTAGTTCAGGTAAAAAAAAACCTCAAAATAAATGATACAAAGCAAATAGGGAAGGATCCTTATGCTTTCCGCCACCGAGGACTTCGTGGACTGCCTTTCCTTGCCAAAAAGGCTGTAGATTTTGGCCTTGATGGACGATTCTGATGGCTTCGGGTTGTTATGAAGCAAATCAGAGAAAGAATCGCTGCAATGTACGTTCCCCACAATATTTTAAATCAACGTTTCCTTTGACCTCTCCGCCATCGCCAGGATAATCTTAGATGGGTTTGCGAGAGACCTAGATGCTTGTAAGAAGAATTATTACTAAAGTTATAGAAATTAATTGGAGAAGAAACCTGCCGAAGAAGAAGACTGAGAGGAGAAAGCGAGGGCAAGCCGAAGACTCCAAAATGAGGAATTTGCAACGGATTGAACAAGAGTGTATAGGTTATTGAAAATATACGTTCGGCTTGGGTTATTGTAACCGTACGGGAATTTGAAGCCGAACGGCGGGATGTGATAGAAATGTTTGGATGTAAAATTAAAAGCACGACAATGAAATAAATTAAGAATATGAAGCGCTCTAAGCAGTAAATAAATGAATAATAATAGCAGTAAATAAATGAGTAAATAAAAAATAATAAATGATAGAATTTGAAGAGTTATATATGAATTTTTTCATTTAATAAATATTTTTAATAGAATGGACGGCCAAGATAATTTAAAAATAAGTAGAATGGATGAACAAGATTTGCCGGAGGAAGGAAACTCAAGCCCCTTTTATAATAGTAGTATACAGATATAGATATTATTATTATTTCCTACCCCTAAGGTTTCTCATGTATAGATAAATCGATCATAAATGTACAATAAAACCAAGGGATTTATTAAATAAATAAATTAATAAAAATATTCTAAGAATTCTTTAAATGTGTTAAGTATTACTTTCTTTAATATGTAAAATACTAATTTAATGTTTTGTTTATGATTTTTTTTTACTTTTTTTTTAAAACAATTTTTTAGAAAAAAAAATATTGAAACCACTGAAAAAACATCAAGGAAAAAACTATCAAAAGCGAAGCTTAAGGCTTCGTTTGGGACGGCTTTAAAAAATTTTATACTAAAACTCCGTTTTAAAAAGCAGTAAAAAAGCCGTCCCAAACGAAGCCTAAGTTTCAATAATGTGTTCAAACATTTGAGTCGTAATATTAAACAAAATCATCTTCAAATAAATGCATTAATAATCTTATTTGCTTCTTCTAGGCCATCTAAAGATCCATCTATTTGTGTAAAAAATTATACTCAATAAGATGAAATTTTTGTAATCTCAATAATTATTATCTAGCTTTATTTTTTTCTTCTAATTATTTAAGGACAAAATTTTAAACTAGTTATTATTAAAAATTTAATAGTGCAATTAAATATTCGAAAAAATAAATTTAAAAATAGACAAAGTCACCCATCAAACGAGCTACTTATGTTGACTCAGATTTGCTCTGCCAGTTAGTTGCCAAACTAACATGCGGCTTATTAAAGAAAATTATGTTTGTAATTTGTCCTTTAAACTAGTGACTTGATAGAGTAAATTCTGAAAAATAATTTAAAAATAAAATTGGTAGATAATATATTAAATAAATTTATTTTAAAATTAAAAATAGACAAAAACAAAAAATTTAGAATTAGTGTAAAATATAATTTATATATTTTAATAGAAGTCAATAGTTTAAATATATATTTTTTAAACAAAAAATATAGAGTTATGATATTTACTTTCTAAGCCTATGTTTAACGTGAAACTTTGAATCTTTATTTTTTTGCCGCTTTAATTTTCGGTATGATGCTTATTCATTTAAAAAACATCTATTAAAATTTTAATAATATAAAAAAAAACAAACATGGTCATTTTTATCAAATTTTGATCATTATGTATATTTAAACTATTGAATTCTATTAAAATATCGAAATTCTAATTTACGTTAAGTTTATATTTTTAAATTATTTTTAAAATATAGATTTAATATATTTTCTACTTATTTTATTTTTAAATTATTTTTTTCAAAATTTACTATAGCAAGTAGCTCAATAGTAATTTTTTTAAATAAATTGTCAGTCAATTCAGCAACTCACACATGAATTAGCAAGTCTGAGTTAACATAAATAGCCTGTTTGATGGACTGACTTTGCCTATTTTTAAATTTTTTTTTTTCAATACTTAATTACATTGCTAAAATTTTAATAATAAGTAGTTTAAAAATTTTCCCATTATTTAAATTTCTCATTGACATTCAATTTCTTCCCATTAATAATAAGTCTTAGACTTCGTTTGGGACGGCTTTTTTATTGCTTTCTAAAACGGAGTTTTAGTACAATTTTTTTTTATTTTTGTACTAAAACTCCGTTTTAGAAAGCAATAAAAAAGCCGTCCCAAACGAAGCCTTAGTCTCCTTAAAAAGAAAGGCCGGACAAGGGAACAAGAAGGAGAATATACCTTTGGAAGGAATATTACAAAGAATCTTCTCTCTGCAAGATAAGTTCCTGCGAGCAATTTGCTATAAGCTTTCGTCTTCCTTCTCTTCAGTCCGCCATTTTTGCGTTCTTCCGATCTTCTTCTTCTTCCTTCCTCTCCTCAGCATTCACACTCTGCTCTGCACTCACACGCAACGGTAGGCTTTTGCTTCTCTTCTTATGGCTTTTTATTTCACATAAATGTCTGTTGATCTCCTTAACTAGTTTTTGTATTATGAATGCCGATTCCTCTTTTTTTTTCTCCTTTATTTTCAAGAGCCATAATTTCAATTATAAAAAAACATGTTCTTTAAATTCAAATAATAAATTTATTATATTCCATTATTTAAGAAAATATTATTTTAATTGAAAATTTCATCCAAAATTCATATATTTCTTTTTTTTATATGAGTAAAAATAAAAAGATTGCAAATGATAAATTTATTAGATTTCATCAATATAAATTCCATTGAAGACAGCATACAATATATTAAAAATGTGATTATTTATGTGAATAAAATAAATTGAAATATTATAAACATTTCAAGATAAATTTAACTATTTTGAGAATTATTCTAATCAAAATTTGATCAACATATATTAATCCAAATTTTTTTTCTATTTTATATTTCAAATAATCAAATGAGTCATAAGTATGATATTCTTATTAAAAATTTATGTATGTATTTTAGAAAAACAAAATTATTCTGACGCGAAAACTATCATGATGGTTTCTAAGTATTTAGATTTATGTTAAAATTAGTGTTGCATATAATATTCTAAATTTTACTAATCTTTCAGCGCAAAATCTGATACATTTCCCGTCAAAATAATCTGACATAAATTTTTTTCCCTATCTTTTACGTAATCATTAATGATGTGATACAATTTCTTAAAAATATAAAATTCTATATAAATTCACCTCATAATATTTTGAAGATCAATATTATTCCAATATAATCGCTCCTTGATATTAAACTTTTTAATAATTTAAAGCAAAAAATTTATTCATAGACATGTGTAGGAGAAATTATTCTGTGCGGATGTTGAACGCCGTTCGAAAACCAACCAAAATACACCACATCATCCCTTCGTTCGAATACCACAGTTCGGTACTACTCGGTATCGCGACTCGGTATCTGTAACATAATTGCACCTGTTTCACCTCCGAACACAGAATTGTGTCCAATTTCCGCACATAATAATTTCTCCTCAAAGTGTTGATATGTTGGACCACAGGACTAGATCATTTCTTATGGTAGCCAAATTAGTAGCTGTGGCGGTGTAGCCTAGGAACCTCATCATGCTTTAAAACTTTCTGATTTTCTAAAAGAATTTATCGTTAATTTAAATAGTTCATTGGATTTAAATTTCTTATTAATTTTTAATGACATTAAATAAATTATGAAATTCAGTCACTTTTATTGTTTTAACATTTTTTTATTAATTTTTAACAAGCAAATTACCCATAAAATAACAATGTTAGACTTGCCAATTTGTCATAAACTACAACAAAGATACTAAACAAGAAATTTAAGTAATGATTTTATTTTTTGTAAATTTATTGCACTTATTCTATATTTAATTAATTTTAATATTTTGTTCTCTTAAAAGAATTCTCCCAATTTGTTACTGACATATTTATGTAATGAATGAAATTATTATTTTTTTCTGTCCCCCATTTTACTGTACATAGACCCGCAAATAATCAGAATCCACTAATATGATCAATTACATATAGCAAAGGATTAACAGAAAGGCATAAAGAAATCCATCTCTGATTCCATCTGCATCCTTAGTCTTCTCCCAGTTCTGTACAGAAGCTCATAAATTACAGGGAGTGTATATTATTCACTGCGAAGACTAGATATAGAACGTCGTTTAGAAATAAATCAGAATGTGTCACATCAGCAGTACCGAGCCATTGTACCAAACAGTACCGAGCCGTGGTACCGAGCGAAGAGGTGACGTGACGCATTCTGATTGATCTCTGGACGGTGTTCTACATTCAGCGTTCGAACATAATAAATAATCCTCCGTTTGATGTTACCTTGTACAAGCAGGAGATTTGAGCCTCTATTGCTATTAATCTGATGCTGAAACTCTGACTGGCTTCAATAAAATGCTGAAAGAAGTTTTTATATAGTTAAATCCCATCACAAAAATGCCTACGAGATAGAGGAAGCTGAGTTGTAGTTTCCCCAGTATGTCATAGGTGGTTAGTAGATAGCTTTCCCTAGTTGTGTTGATATTGTTCAAGATAATGGGCTTCCTCAAAATAAGCCACCCTGTTTAAAATATGAAACAAGTTTTTAATTAGAGGAATACAATTTGAAGAAATCCATGTAAAAATAAAAATACAGCTGATGATCATGGAAATGGTACATAGGATTTGCAGTACCATGTTTATCTGATTCAGCCATGGGCAAATTTGACCATTCTAGTGTTATGGTCTTTGTTTTAGTTGCTTTTATCAACTCCATTAAAGCTGCATTGACCTGCATGAACAGAAAGCTCAAGCAATATGTAAATAGATTCAAACAAATTTCTGGTTTCTGATTATGACTTCATTTGGAACGACATTCTTTATGTTTTTAGTATAAAAATTTTAATTTTTGTACTAAAAAGCTGCTTTATGAAGTAGTAATAAAATCGTTTCAAATGAAACCTATATGAAAGCAACAGCCAAAATTAGAACCTATTCGTCTTTTAAATCTCTCCCTTAATTCACAACGAAAACTACGGTGTATTTCTTGATTGAAAAAATAGGTAATTGAGATGATGCCAACAATCCAGCAAGAAATTAACTTTCAGCGATCTTCTTCTTCTTCCTTCCTCTCCTCAGCATTCACACTCTGCTCTGCACTCACACGCAACGGTAGGCTTTTGCTTCTCTTCTTATGGCTTTTTATTTCACATAAATGTCTGTTGATCTCCTTAACTAGTTTTTGTATTATGAATGCCGATTCCTCTTTTTTTTTCTCCTTTATTTTCAAGAGCCATAATTTCAATTATAAAAAAACATGTTCTTTAAATTCAAATAATAAATTTATTATATTCCATTATTTAAGAAAATATTATTTTAATTGAAAATTTCATCCAAAATTCATATATTTCTTTTTTTTATATGAGTAAAAATAAAAAGATTGCAAATGATAAATTTATTAGATTTCATCAATATAAATTCCATTGAAGACAGCATACAATATATTAAAAATGTGATTATTTATGTGAATAAAATAAATTGAATTATTATAAACATTTCAAGATAAATTTAACTATTTTGAGAATTATTCTAATCAAAATTTGATCAACATATATTAATCCAAATTTTTTGCTATTTTATATTTCAAATAATCAAATGAGTCATAAGTATGATATTCTTATTAAAAATTTATGTATGTATTTTAGAAAAAAAAAATTATTCTGACGCGAAAACTATCATGATGGTTTCTAAGTATTTAGATTTATGTTAAAATTAGTGTTGCATATAATATTCTAAATTGTACTAATCTTTCAGCGCAAAATCTGATACATTTCCCATCAAAATATTCTGACATAAATTTTTTTTTTTGGGTAAACTTCTGACATAAATTTTGTTTTCTCTATCTTTTACGTAATCATTTATGATGTGATACAATGATATTAAAAATATTAAATTAATTTCCCAAAAAAAAAAAAAAAATTAAATTCAATATAAATTCACCTCATAATATTTTGAAGAACAATATTATCCTATTATAATCGCTCCTTGATATTAAATTTTTTAATAATTTAAAACAAAATTTTATTCACAGACGTGTAAAACCAATTTCATAGCCAATTTGAAGAAATTATTCTGTGCGGATGCCAAATTCCATCAATAGACCAATCAAAATACACCACATCATCCCTTCGCTCGATACCTTTGATATTGCTCAGTATCGCGGCTCGGTACCAGTAACATAATTGCACCTGATTCGCCTCCGAACACAACGTTGCGTCCGGCTTCCGCACAAAATAATTTTGTTGATATGTTGGACCACAGGAATAGATCATTTCTTATGGTAGCCAAATTAGTAGCTGTGGCGGTGTAGCCTAGGAACCTCACCATGCTTTAAAATTTTATGATTTTCTAAAAGAATTTATCGTTAATTTAAATAGTTCATTGGATTTAAATTTCTTATTAATTTTTTACGACATTAAATAAATTATGAAATTCAGTCACTTTTATTGTTTTAACATTTTTTTTTATTAATTTTTAACAAGCAAATTACCCATAAAATAACAATGTTAGACTTGCCAATTTGTCATAAACTACAACAAAGATACTAAACAAGAAATTTAAGTAATGATTTTATTTTTTGTAAATTTATTGCACTTGTTCTATAGTTAATTAATTTTAATATTTTTTTCTCTTAAAAGAATACTCCCAATTTGTTACTGACATATTTATGTAATGAATGAAATTATTATTTTTTTTCTGTCCCCCATTTTACTGTACATAGACCTGCAAATAATCAGAATCCACTAATATGATCAATTACATGTAGCAAAGGATTAACAGTAAGGCATAAAGAAATCCATCTCTGGTTCCTTCTGCATCCTTGGTCTTCTCCCAGTTCTGTACAGAAACTCGGAAACCCTTATTCTACTTGTTTTGCTGAGCATGTTAACCGTACAGGCATAGCAAGTTTTGTTAGTACATATTATTAGAATTACAGGGAGTGTATATTATTCTGTGCGAAGACTAGACATAGAACAACGTCCAAAGACAAATTAGAATGCGCCACATCAGTGGTACCGAGTGGTATTCAGCAGTATCGAGCCACTGTACCAAGCTGTACCGAGCGACCGTACCGAGCCGTGATACCAAGCGACAGTACCGAGCCGTGATACCGAGCGAAGATGTGACATGATGCATTCTGATTGATATTTGAACGATGTTCTGAATTCAGCGTTCGAACATAATAAATAATCCTCCGCTCGATGTTACCTTGTACAACAAGCAGGAGATTTGAGCCTCTATTAATCTGATGCTGAAACTCTGACCGGCTTCAATAAAATGCTGAAAGAAGTTTTTATATAGTTAAATCCCATCACAAAAATTCCTACGAGATAGAGGAAGCTGAGTTGTAGTTTCCCCAGTATGTCATAGGCATAGGTGGTTAGTAGATAGCTTTCCCTAGTTGTGTTGATATTGTTCAAGATAACGGGCTTCCTCAAAATAAGCCACCCTGTTTAAAATATGAAACAATTTTTTAATTAGAGGAATATAATTTGAAGAAATCCATGTAAAAATACAGCTGATGATCGTGGGAATGGTACATAGGATTTGCAGTACCATGTTTATCTGATTCAGCCATGGGCAAATTTGACCATTCTAGTGTTATGGTCTTTGTTTTAGTTGCTTTGATCAACTCCATTAAAGCTGCATTGACCTGCAAGAACAGAAAGCTCAAGCAATATGTAAATAGATTCAAACAGATTTCTGGTCTCTGATTATGGCTTCGTTTGGGACGACTTTCTTTATGCTTCTTAAAGCAACTTTTTAATACAAAAATTTTAATTTTTTACTAAAAAGCTGCTTTAGCAGTAATAAAGCCGTCCCAAACGAAACCTATATGAAAGCAACAGCCAAAATTACAACCTATTCGTCTTTTAAATATCTCCCTTATTTCATAATGAAAACTAAGGTGTATTTCTTGATCGAAAAAAAAGGTAATTGTACTTTTTGATAGATGATGCCAACAATTCAGCAAGAAATTAACTTTCAGATTAGAGAGGTTTACTCCAAGCTTACCCAAATCAAGTCATACCTCATCTGGTCTTTCATGGCTCACTAAATGGCCACCATGGAATTCTACCATTCTTGCAGCCGGTTGAAGCTTCTTTGCAAGTTTTCTTGCATGATATAACTGGGCAATGACATCATGCCTACAGAAATTATGCACAACAGTTTAGTTTCCTATCTACCTTTTAAGAACACACACACATACAAAGAGGGAGAGAGAGAGAGAGAGAGTAAACCTGCCATGGATGACTGATATCAGGAAGCCTGCTGAACGGATTGCATCGAGCTCTTTTGATGACAATTTGTGAGTCCAGCATGCATGCACTTGCCCCTCAAATCCTTTTTTAGATTGCATTCCATTTGATGATATTGCTTTAACGTATTTCTGACCGAATTGGTCCCAAAGAAAATTTAAAAACAAAAGTCAAAGACACAAGCTTGTGAAGCTAATTCTGCGTTTATAATTCCTCTATCATGCCTTGAAAACTAATCCGCAATTGAACTGGTAACAGTTCATAGGTGAACAACATAACAGGCAATTTGTTTGAAGAGAAAGTTGAGGCAATCGTCATAGCAACACAGGTTTTAGTCTGAGAGAAAGTGTGAAAATTTCGATATCTCATCACGCAATTTTTATGCTCTGATTATATTAATTAAAATATAATTATTCATCTGAACTTTTCACGTGCTCTGATTATTCTTATTTTAATTATTTTTTTAATTTTAAACTTAGAAATTGACAATATTTTGCTTCTAAAAATATTTAATTTTTTTATTTAAATAAAGAAATTATATTCAAGTTTTTCATTTACTCTTCTATTCACTCGTATTTTTAGCATTTATTAGAGCGATCCACATTCTGCCGAGCTCCGTTTCGTATTATGTAAGAGCTCTCCTGAAAATATTCGGCGCTCGCGAAACCCTTCTCCTACACCACCTCTACTCATCAACCAATCGTTCATGCTCACATCCACAGCCATAAAAGTTTCTCCTCAAATCTAATACTCATTGACCACAAACTAAATGAGAAAAATTATCTCCCATAGGCCCAATTAATTATGATATTCATAAGTGAGAAATAGAGATGATTATCTCACGAGTGCAACCATTCTCTCTTAAGAAAAAGATATAAAATGAAAACTAGGTAAGCAAGGTCATAGACTCTCTGCAACAAAAAATGAAAACTCTAAAGCCATCTACCTTCACACTTCCATCATTTAATAAAGAGCAAATAAAATGCTAAAAAAGGCGTTCGACCACCTCCTAAACAAGCTCAACTCTAGCCACATCTAACATCATCATCAGATCATCTGCTCAAAAAGGTATAGTCGTAAATGCTTTTAATAAAAAATTCACAATTTTCAATCATAGATTATAGACTCAAGAGTTTCAAATCGCATGATTGGGGCATTTTACTATTTCATAGAATATACAATGTTCCAAGAAATACTCTGTAAGGGATGCTAATAGATTATTATCTTCTGTTATAAGCATTGGACGAATCAAAATCTCATATTTTATATCTGTAAACTCGGTTTTATTAGTTCTTAAGCTTTTATACAATCTTCTATCTATTAGAAAAAATATTATAGATATAATTATGTTATTAAATTTTCCCCTTCTGATTATGAATTTTATGATTTAGTTTAGAGAAAGATGATTGACAATACAAAAGAGAATGCTAGGCTCTACCTCCTAGATGTTGAAGAAAGTATTGTACTAAATAGAAAACATGTTCAATATATATCTTTTCCTAAAAAAAGTGCCTTCGATGTCATTGCATCTCTATCTTGATCATCCAAATTTTATGTATCTCAAAAAATTATTCCCATTTTTTGTCAATAATAAAAATTCAAAGTTAATTTAATGTGCTCATCAACTATTAACAACTATTCAAACACACTGGAAACATAGATTCAAGCCATACATATAAACATTCTCAATCTTTCTCTATAATTTATAGTGACATTGGGGACATTACCATGTGACCAAAATCTCTAGTTCTAAGTGGTTCAATTTATTATTTTATGATCATACCAGATCAACATGAATCTTTTTAATGAATGACAAATCTAAAACTTGTCATACGGACTCATAAGTTAAAATTAAAATAAAATTCATTCAATTATGGGGACTATCTTTTTCAATAAGAAATTATACATCAAAGCTCTTACACATATACTCCTCAACATAATGTGATTACTAAAAGTGAAAATGCACATCTTCTGAAAGCTGCTAGATCCATAATGATTCCTAACAATATTTCAAATTAATATGAGAAAAAGTATATTCTAGTAGGTCTCATTAATTGAATAGCATCAACTAGTAAAATATTCTGAAGCCCTTACCATATCCTCCGAAATACATCCCAATAACATACTTATTTCAACTATTCCTCTTAAATTTTTTGGTTGTTCTACATTTGTTCATATTCCACCTCATGAATGAAACAAACTTGACCCAAAAGCCATTAAAAACATCTTTATTAATTATATCATCCTAAAAAGAACAAATTTTTCATTTTTACGGATGTCAAATTCTAAAAAAAATATTACTTTTTCAAAACTTACACTCAAAGGATGAATAACAACACTTCATATAAATATTAATTTTTTATCGATCTCACAGACCTCCATGCTTCATCTCTCCATAACAACACTAAAGTCCCGATCACACTTAAAATTATCAACAATCAAAGATATAAAGGTCTAATTTATACTGAAAATCAACTACACCTAATGAGTATTAATGAACCAAACATTTCTCCACAACAAAATCACCAATCTGAATAAAGCTTCAATCAACATTCACAAAGTAACACTAATTTTATACTATGGAATAGGCAACGTGAAAGCTAAGTTCTTCTTGAGAAAAGCCTAGTAGGATCGGCTCTAACTGTGTCTAATAAGTTCCCTAGATCTTTTGGTAGTTTCCAGCTAGCAAGCTTTGCAAAAACCTAAAAGGAGGAGGTGAAGGTGGAAGGGAAAATCATGACTCGTTCCTTACAGCAAAGCAAGAACCTTGGTACATGAAGTTTGGTCGATAAGTCGTGAAAAAACACTACGGAGAAATTCTAATGAGTCTTATTTCTCTCCAAGAGCTAAGAGAATTTTTAAAATTTAGCAACCAAAAATTAAAATCTTATTCCCTTCACATGCTTTTTAAATAGGTTTCTAACATGTTACAAGACAAACACACAAATACCTAAAATATCTTTATAATTTCGAGTATTCAAAAGGAAACAGACAGTAAAAAAAGCCTCAACTACCCTTACTAGCAAACACCTAATTATTAAACTAAAAAAAAAAAAAAAAACTTAATTTCAGTTTTTCAAAGAGAAACAAAAAATATGAACTATTCTAAGCTTGAATAATGACAGTCCAATCTTGATTAACACCTTATATGGCCCTCCCTGAATTTACTAGATCCCATGTAATCCATAAAATGTATGTTTGAATCTGAACATTTCTTAGTCTATGTATTTGGCTCCGCAGTAGTAACTAAAATTTCTAATGTGAGCATTCCCAACATCATTTTTTAAGCATTAAAAATACATGTATAGATAAATGTTACTCATGAAGAAATGATAATACTTTAGATGCAAATGAATGGTGCATGACAACTCTCGATCTTATCAAAAAGGAAAAAAGCTTGTCAAATGCAACTAAATCTTCATTATGTAATATAGGATTGACAAGAGCATTCGAAGACACAGTCAGACTAATAGTAAAAGGATATAACCAAACTTATGGCATTGATTATCGAGAAATATTTGCATCACTCGTTAAAATTAACTTTGTCTAAGTCATCATCTCTCCAACTATAAATCTCAATTGGCCTCTTCACCAACAAGATGTCAAAACACATTTCAAAATGTAGATCTTAAAGAAAAAATGTATAAATATTCCTCTTGTATGCGAGACCACGAGACCACGAACAACAAAGGTGAAGTTAGTAAAGTTACAAAATCCTTATATGACCTAAAGAATTTTTCAAGAGCCTGGTTCATAAGATTCATAATTACAATTAAAAAATATAAATACTCAAAAGTAACCTAATACTTTATTTATGAAGAAATTACCTGCTAGTCAAATTAAAATCCTAATTGTCTATGCGGATCATGTTATCCTAACTGGTAATGATGAGAAGAAATTAAGGGACAAGGCGATTTTATCAAATGAATATGAAATTAAAGGCCTAGGAGTCCTAAACTATTTCTTGGTTATGAAAATTACAAGATCGAAGAAAAGTATGTATATCACTTAATAAAAAAATTACACCAGATCTTTTAAAAGAAATCGGGATGACAGGATGCAAATATGCAAACACTCCTATTGATCCTACTAATAAAATATAATTAAATTGTGATACTCTCCAAGTGGACAATGAAAGGTATCAATATTGGTTGAAAAACTTTTTTATCTCTCCCACACTCATCCTGATATATGTTAGTTTGTCAGTGTGGTTAGTCAAATTATGAATGTCTAAGTAAAGAACACTTTGATGCAATCTACAAAATATTAAGTTATCTAAAGAGGACTGATGGGAAAGATTTACTTTTCAAAAAGGAAATAGATAGGGGTAATAAAAAAAAATTTACTGATGCTGACTAGGTTAGGTCCATAACTGATTGAAAATTCATGAACTCTGACTATTATTCACTCGTGTGGAAAAATCTTCTCATCTGGAGAAGTAACAAACAACAAATGGTAACTAAAAGTAATGCTGAAGCTAAAAATGATCAATAGATATATTCCTAGATTGAGAGGGAATATAAGAAAACCATAATATGTGAGACACATCGTGCTCTCATCAAGGAATCCGTATGCTCCTATTATATCAAACACGGGATAATTATATATCTTAGCAATCCATGTGCTTTGATTATTCTTGTTTTGATTATGTTTTAATTATGATTTTTATTTTAGGATTACTAATTGATACTATTTTGCTTGTATAAACATGTAACTTTTCTGCAAATTGGAATAAGAAATTCCATTCAAAATTTATCTTCTATTTGTCTCCTATTTTTAACAGAAATGAGTGAAGGTAGAACACAATGTAGAAAGCAAAGGGATATAAAGGGAAGTGGCATCAGCGGGAGTAGCATTGCTGATATAGATATCGCTATAATTTACCAAAGTTTCACTTCCTCCAATTAAAGAAAGTTTAGAAATGAGATCTTAGAACAGGTTTTTATTGCATTGTTCAGAACGATAGATTGAAATGCTATCCTCAGCTAGTTGGCTGAGAAAAGGATAATCTAGATATCCTTATGCAACTTGACTAATGAACAGAATGAATGGGAAGACAAGTGCACAAAAAGCTCCACTAGTTATTATCAAACAAGATTATAAATCCCTTACTTGATACAAAATTTTTCTTCTTGTACTTGATCCAACACATTCATCAAGATATTCCTGCAGATGAAGGACCAAATTTGGGTTTTTTAATCCCTCAAATAAATAGATATAATGCAAATAGGAACGGGAAAAAAATCGCATCATGATCTCTTAAAGCAAGTGTAAAACAAATGCTCAAAACACCAGAACGTTTTATCAAAACTTCAAGATTATCAATCTTGTCTTAAGATAAATAACAAGTTTAAGTGTTGTTTCCTAATTTGTGGTGAAAATAGTTGTCTTGTAGCTTTTATACAAATATCATGTTGTTCTAGAAAATGTCACATATTTTGAGCAGCGGTCTTGCTGTTCTGATACATTTTTGCATTAAGTGCTCCTGATACAACTCATTCAAGTCAAAAAATTGTTACTGTATTTAAATTGTTAGAAAGTTTCACAGAAGTTGAAATGTAGTTGCCTTGCTATAATGTAATTCCAGGTCAACAGCAGCTCTATCCTGTGGAGTCTTTGCCCTTAGGAAACGAAATACAATGGATATACTTTGACGGCCAACCTGTTAGAAGAAAGGAGCAACACACAATGTTTTTAGTCAGCTTGAAACAAAAATCTCGCTAACCACAGATAGAACTCTACAAATCACGGCATATAATTTTTCTAAGGAAAAATATTATATTAATAGAAGTTAAACCTCAGAATCAGTAGAGAACTAGCTACTTATTAGTTATTATAACAATAAAAAAGTTAACATTAGAAGAAAACCTAATTTACCATTTACATAGAAAAAAAAACGAAGCGAATTTCCACGCGCATATTAAGGTAATTAAGTCCTCTCTTTCATGAGAATATACCTTCGGAAAGCACTCAAAGCCTCCACCAGTTGCATTAAGCAAAGCCAATGAAAGTAATCTCTCTGGTGCCATTGCTGCCAACTTGCAAGCTATCATAGCACCTGTTTTCCAAGATCATAAAGGCATTCCGTCAACATTCAACCTAAGTCTCAGCCCATTATTCAAAATCATGGAAAGGAAATTCAACATTTTTTTTTCTCTAAAAACAAAAAGGAATAGAAAAAGCAAAATCATCTTGTGTCAAAGTACTCCAACCAAATTATAACAAAGGGTCCATTGTAACCAAGATTCGATTAATTAAACAAATATTTATCAAAGAAAAAAAAACGCAAAAGAGAAATAGAAAAAGAAGAGTTAACTCACCCATTGAGTGACCGAAAACATGAGCTTTCTTCCATCCCAGATGGTCCAGCAAAGCCAGGGCATCACTGGCCATGATAGCCGTTCTGCAAACCACGCATAACAGTAAATCAATTTCCAAACAATCCTTTCAAATGATCATAGAAAATTTCCTTCCCCCTCGCGCCCCAATTTCACGCAGCATCATAATCTCTCAAAATATCAATTTCTACAGTAAAATTTAAGGGAGGAAAAAAAGAGATTAAATAAGAGGAAGCAGAAGAGGGAAAATCTCACGAGTACTCTGATCTCTTTGAGGGAACAGAACTTCGGCCCATGCCGCGGTTATCGAAACAGCACACCTCGATCCCATCCACGGCCTGCTCCTTCTCGTCAGAACAATCACCGGATGCCGTAGACAGCACCGCTTCCTCCTCATCGTTTGGCTCATAAACACCAGTCAATCCCTTAATCTGCGGCCCCCAAGCTTCGTGCGTTGCCGCTAGACCTATCAACATCAGAAACCCCCAATCCACATCATCTCTTCAGAAAAACAAAATCCCCAATTCCCGTCCTCCAAACATCACTATAGCAATCAAATCACCGAAAAAAAAAATCCAGTTAAGGTTACCAATGATGAGGAGGACTTTGGTGCCCCCCCGACCGAATCTCCTATAGAAAATTGTCGTCCCGATTCCATTATCTTCCGACGCTCTCTCCTTGCTCACGTTGCAGTACGGCATTTTGGTCAACCGATGATTATATTTCCTAAGAAAAAAAATGTCAAGAAAAAAGAAAGGAGGAAGAGGAGATAATAGCGCAGATGTGAGAGAGAGGTGTCGGCCCGTCGGGCGGATTTAAAAGACACGGCCGGTGAAGAAAATGACACGTGGAGTGGTCCACGTCAGCATATCGGCGTTGTTGGCGGGAAGAAGATAGTCAAACGCTGCGTCCGGTGCAATTGAGTGAGCTGGGTCCCAGCTGCGCTTCTTCTTCAGCGGGTTCCTTTGCCCGCATTGACCTTTCATTTTTAACACGTGTCCCTTATGCCCCACGTGGATGTTATGCTTCATGACTAGATTATTATTTTGCATCATTGCATATCTATTATGAAAATAATTGAGAATTCAATAAAAAGTTATATGATTTTATGCATAAAAAATATATCATTTTATGCATAAATGATAATATAAATGATATGTATCTCATAAATTTTTTATATATTTATATATCTAATATATTTCATTTGAACCACGAGGGTTAAGAATTTTGATACAGTTGTTGAAATTCTAAGAAAAATTTTATTTATTATTATATATATATAATTTTGTATTTCACAAATCCATTTTATCTATCTTAAAAAAACTCTGGCAATAATTTATGAATAATGCCAAAAGTGATTGCATCCGCAAAATTATCCCCTAAATGCAAAATTATTATTTTTTTCAGTGCAAAATTGTTATTTTTCAAAATAAAAAAGAGGATCGAGAAAGAGGATAAGGAATTATGATAAGATAAAGAAGAGTTGCAGATAATCAATGCATGGTCGAAATATTATAGCGACTGAGCATAAATACAATAGAATTTAGGTAGAAAAATAACTTTGTGATGGTGATGTAAGTGCACCAAAGTCTCATCCAGCCGTCCATCTGAATGTGCTGAAAAGATGGAATATTGCCCATTTGCAAGAGACACTATTTTGCAGAATTAATATATGACGCAGCTCATCTTGATCTGTTGATTGTAGCTTTGATTATCAACTAAGAGGTATTGAATTTGAGTCTTGCATGTGATTTATGTCTGAGTTAGTCTTAATTGGTCTAATTGATTGTAAGTATAATAGAAGCATGTGGCAACATAATCATCGTCATTCTCAAATGATACAAGTAGAAAGACGTCCAAGTAGTATCATCATAGATTGTGTAGTGTAATGCAGCCCTTGAATATTATGAAATTGTCTATTACGTGAAGTATAATGCAGCCCTTGAATCTTTATGGTGCCGAATGTTGGCCATTAAAAGAGAAGCATAATACTAAGTTAAGTGTGGCAGAGATGAGGATGCTTAGATGGATGAGTGGCTTTACCCTTAGAGATAGGATACGAAATGAGCATATACGTGAAAAGGTTGGAGTAGCTCCAGTAGAAGATAAGATTAGAGAGAGTCGCCTTAGATGGTTTGGTCACATAAAAAGGCGGCCTTCCGACGACCCAGTTAGGAGAGTAGAGGTATTAGATTTGACTTGTGTTAAGAAAGGTAGGGGTAGACCTAAAAAGACTTGGTTAGAAAATATTAGGAATGACCTTTCTTTATTAGATTTAAACGAGAATTTGGCTTTTAATAGGACACAATGGAGAAAAAGGATTCATGTAGCCGACCCCACGTAGTGGGATAAAGGCTTGATGTTGTTGTTGTTGTTGTTGTTGTTTGTCTATTACGTGAAGTATATGCGGACTTGTTATGAAAAAGTTACGATGACCGTGGATTGTGGGTAAGAACCATGCATTGATATACTGTATGATAAATATTGTGTATGTTCATAGGTGGTCATGAAGATGATGAGTGGAGTTATTTCATATCCTATAGTGGAATTCTATGGTCTATGGAGATGGTGGATAAGGTCTTAAGTGTATATAAATTTTATTAGTAAGAGTTGTAGTATTTAAAAAAAAAATCATGTCCTCTCTTATATTTCTTAAACTCCAACATCAAAGTGTTTGTGGTATCTAATATTTCCTTGCCTTAAAAATTGTGGTGTTCAACTTCAAAATTTTAAGTAGGGGTGTAAAAAACAGGTTGCGGGTTGGGTTCGGGTTGAGCTCGACATTGACCTATTGCTGTTCGATGGACCGGAACACGTTCTGCTTTTGCAAATGGGTAAAAAATTCCAACTACGACCAAACCTCCAAAAAGCCCGGGGTAACCCGACCTGACACGGATGGCCCGGGGCTGGGGTCGGGCAAGAATGGCATGTCGCACATGTCGTAGGAGGAGCTAGAAGCGTGGGTTGGACTCGCGGGCTGAGGCGGGATGCCCGGTTCGACTAACGTGGGCTTGACACGCGGTGCAATGCAGCGGGCGAGAAGCCGCGTGAGTTGGATCATGACTAGTGTGATGCCCCAGATATCAATAGTGAAAGGATTCATCTATCATTTCTTTTCATCTCTTTTTTTCTTTTTTTTTTCTATCGATCAGTCGGTCTTTTCATCTTACTTCGTTCAGTTCAATACAGTCATCCAGAGATAATTGCATTACAGGAAAGAAATACAACAATTACAATAAACCACATATAAACATATATATAATCAACAGAAGTGTCCAAAAGGTCATATACAATAGCCCAGACGGCTTCAAAACAGAAATCTACCAAAGCTACAAAACAAAGCTACGCTATCAACTGAAGAAGCATCACGCGGGAGGCTCTGCACCTGAAATATTAACCACATATAATGAGCTTAACTAGCCCAGCAGGTCACCAAAGCCTAAAACTGAAATCAAAGCACGACACTGAAAACAATATGCAGGTCAATCAAATCAAATCAAATCAATAGGCTATGATAAATAAATCTATGCAGATTTGAACTTGAGCTCGTTTGATAAATGACCTCGAAGTCGAGCTCGAGCTCAACTCATGAGCTCGATAAACTCGGCTTGCAAGCTCATAAACAAGTTGAGCTCGAGCCAGCTCGGCTCACTTACACCCATAATCGGGACGTGAATCAAGTGCGAGACATCGCGTGATGTGTGAGTTGGACTTGCGATAAACAAGACGCTGTGCTGGCATGCGGTGCGACATAGTTATTGTTTTGGGCTTGCGAGCGGATCATAACACAAGGAGTTGGAGATCGATTGGACAATGTGACTAATTTTTCAAACGGGTCAACTTTCGTGTTAATGGGTAGACCTGGACCTGATCCGATTTTTTAAATGGGTCAAATCGTGGAACCCGAACCCGACCCATTTGACAAAGGGTTGATCATAATCCGAAATTTTTGAATTGGGCTCAGGTCGGATTTTCAGATCCCATCCCTAATTCTAAGCATTCGTACAATTATATTTACATAGTAATGAATTTTATTTTACTAGTAAGTATTTAATTAATCATTTAATTAATTCATATAGAACACATGATAATAGTAGAATTTAAAGAGGACAATATTATGATTCCAATAAAAATGACTCCTTGAATGAGAATACAATTATTTTGAATTAATATAACTTAAATATTTTAACCAGCTTAAAGTCATGACATATTCATAAAGGCATGAACTCTTGTCATGTTTTTAGTGTTCATCATTAAAATTGATGGATAGTCATAACTCCATTATAATCTCAAGAGATGAGAAAATGAAGAATAATTAAAGAGGCACCTTCAAAAAAAAATTCATTTTGCTGGCTTAAGCTCATTTATTTTTCTTCTATTTGGAACAAGATTTAAGATCTATTTAGAACAGCTGCATTTTTTTTATAAAGATAATTGTAAAGTTGGTGTAAAAAAATCAATATTTTTGAAAGTTACTGTAGAAAGCAGCTTCTCAGCACAAAATTTTTTTGAATGTAGTGAAAAAACATTAGAGGTATTAGATTTGACTTATGTTAAGAAAGGTAGGGGTAGACCTAAAATGATTTGCTTAGAAAATATTATGAATGACATTTCTTTATTAGATTTAAACGAGAATTTGACTTTTAATAGGACACAATGAAGAAAAAAGATTCATGTAGCCGACCGCACGTAGTGGGATAAAGGCTTGATGTTGTTGTTGTTGCAGTGAAAAAACAGTGACCAAATAAAAATTGTGGTTGCAGTTTAAAAAATGAAACAGTAAAAAGATTGCCTTAAACAAAGCCTTAATGGAAAATAATATTGTTTGGGCATAATGAGCTTCTATCTATGGGCATATGAAATATGCAATCATCCGGCTCTATTTGTTATGCATATAATTATAATAATTGTCATGCAACTTCTTATTTTGTTGATTTGTGGGTTATAGGTAGTCGACCAAGAGTTCTTGAATTCGAAATTTTTATATGTTATGTGTGAATTTGTATTTTAATTTACTAAAAATCTAAAAAAAAAATATCATCCACATTCTTCAATTTTACAATGTGAATAAACATGTTTTTATTTTTATTTTTAATATAATAATCAAAGCTCATATGATAAAATAATCTTCTATAAATCAATTTTTTTCTTTAGATTAATAATCATTACATTTTAAATTTTTTGAAATTGTAGCTGAAAGTTTTTTTATTTTAACAACAAAAATGCAATCAATGATCAACAATTATCACCTTTTGAAAAAAAAAAAACAGTTAAGAAAATATAGGAGCTAAAAACATTAAGTCATATTTGATTGATTTTAAAAAAAAAAATTATCAATATATACTTTAAATTCTTGATTTTTTTTAAGATAAATATAATATATAAGTAATATATATTCTATGCATCTCAAAGTAGATTTATTAAATTTTTAAATAATTTTGACACAGAATTTGATAAGTTATCCTTCAAATTATCTTTAGAAAAAAAAAAGGAATAATAAGATTGGAGAGGCATTGGTTAGGCAAAATTTTAAGAAGGATCATACTTTAAAAAACATGTAAGAGAATGAGCATGATATTAAATAAATTTTAAAAGGAGCATATCAGTGTACAAGAATCACGTTTTCAAAGAAAATGCAAAGCAGTTGTGCGTTTTCTATAAAAAACGCAATCGTACATTGCATTTTTTTTGAAAACGTGAACCTGCACTGCATTTTCAATGAAAATGCGATCCTCCATCATGTTTTCCTCGTAAAACAATTAATAAGTGTTTTGAAATAAGTGATGAGACTATTGGGTCAATAAATTTATGATAGAGCCTTTTTCACTAACAAAGTGATTTAGGCATCATTTAAAAACCTAAGATTTTATATTAAATTAAAAAATATTTAAATATGTAAGATTTTATTTTAAATTAAAAAATATTAGATAATAATAAATATGGTAATAATTGAAACCATGTTAATTAATGAAGCATATATATCTATGTAAGATTTTCTCATTCAGAAAAATAAGAAAAATCCTTTTATTATGTAATTAATAATTTCATTAAATATACAAACATGAAAATTTAAATGAATAATTATATTAAATAAGTATAAATTAAGAAGAACATTAATATGGTAATAATGAAAAGCATAAAATTTAAAATAGTATATTACATAAAATTAATTTTCTTTAATGTTTTATGAGGAAAACGCAATGGATGGTCGCATTTTCATTGAAATGCAGTGCAGGTTCACGTTTTCTTTCATTGAAAATGCAGTGCAGGTTCACGTTTTAAAAGAAAATGCAATCTTTTGAGCATTTGATCCTTCCATTTCTCTTTTTAGATTAGCACTATGAGACAATGCTACTCACAAGCCTTCGTTAAGGTGCGAGGGAAAAATCTTCATATGAAAATCTAGGAGTAGTGGTCGTCAATTAGCAGCTATTAATACAGTAATAAGAGATAGTCGAATTTCCATCATGATTCCAATGTTTGATTCATCAGAACTACTCACTTACCCAAAAAAAATCTCTTAATAACATCGCATGATCCTCCTTGAGCATCAACAAGATTTGTTTTTTCCATCCATATAGCTTTCGCCACTTCACTTCTTCATATAATTAACCGTTAGTAAATTACATCATGAACAAAATTATCAAGATTTAATTAAAACTAAGCTGGTATGGCAGCAGGGCAAGAGCCTTTGATCTCCATTGCCTTCATTGCACTTCCAATGCTTCTAAGCTTTCTCTCTTTAATAGCTGGATCCTCCAAAAGTAACACTTTATCCCCTTCTTTCACCCCAACCATATGCAAGTGATCTCCATCTTCCTTCTCCTTCCCCTTAAACAGAAGCCTCTGCTCCCTCGGCTCTAAGCCTGTTTCCATGGACACGATCACCTTAAGCTCACCTGCACTCTCACAAACTTTGGCATTTATACAGGTTCATCATCATCGTTATTAGCTTAAGGGCGTCTCCAACGAAAATCTCATTTTTCACTCCAAAATGTCATGAAACTAAAAAAAGAACTCCACTTTGCCCCCTTTTCAAAGGTAACGGTTGTTCTCTTCTTTTCGCGCATTTCTTCGGCAAGCTCAGTAGAGAAAGAAAAATTGCGAAGATGAACAGTGCAACACCAATATTGGCGTCCCACTGTTCACTTGCAACCAAATAGCGGAAATTTTTACCGTTCCGCTTGAGCTCGCAAGCGACGTCATTCAAACATTTGGAGTTCGGTTGGAGATGCCCTCAGCCCAATTATTCAAACTCAGATCAATTGTTGTTTATAGAGATTGTAGAATTGTTTCTTGGATAGCAAGTTTTTCTATAGTGGTTGCGAGTTTTTTTTTTTTTCTTTTGAAAAAGTTTAACGGTAACTTTCTCAGAGCTGCTATAGCAAAAGCTGAAGCAAAATAAGAAAGCCATAATGAGCTCAAATGAGAAGAAATACATACCAAAGGTTGCAGTGGCACTGATGGAAATATGAAGCCACCGCAAACCAGTGGAGACCCTCACATTGATCATCGCCTTGCTTTCATCGGCTCCGATGGCCTCTCTTTTCTGAACCAGCAAGCCACAGGGCCGTAGCTCCCACTCTATCTCACGACGGCACTTGCCTCCTCCTCCGCCGCCGTCGCCGCCGCCGCTGCATATGCCGACCTTAGAACTTGTCTTGAAGAGCTTCTTCGATCTCAATTTGACCATCTCTAACTAACTCCCCCTCTGTGTTTTGTTTCTCTTTCAAGTGAATGAGATGTGAGGCTATAAGTAGATATGGGGAGCTCATTTTCAGGCGCAAATAAGGGGAAAGGCAACAAAGTTTGGATATATTTAATGTATAAAAGAGTAAAGTAGTTGGCTTTGTCAAAGTTTATGGCAGGCATGGCCTCCTTTGTTTGAATGCTTTTGATAAAGACTTGGGATAATAATATTTGTGTTGGGGTTTGGAGTGTCCTTAGAGAGATTGTGAAAGTGGAATTCCACATGGAGGATTCAAATTAACTCCTATGCAATGAGAAATAATTATTTGCGGTCACCACATGAATCAGAAGTCAAATAGGACGCACCACGTCATTTGATACGAGCAGTACACAATATCGTTAGAGAAGTGTGTTAGTGACGTGTCACATCCTAATTGGCTTCCAGACGGCATCTGGTGACCGGCACGTAATAATTTGCACTTTGAGAACATTGCAAGGCCAAGGAAATGATAGTGATAGTGTTGGTTGGTAGAGGTCTGATATTCTCTTGGTGGGCTTTGTTTATTGACATATGTTGATTAATTTTAGTATATTTCATTAAATGTGTATATAGTAATATTTATTAATAATCATTTTATAAAAAAATATATTATATATTTCTTTTAGAGATAACATTGTGAAATTTGATCATTTATGTTATGTTATTTGCTCTGATATAATTTTTTTTTCTTTCTAAAACTATCAAATGGAATGAAGGTTTTTTATCTTTCAAAAAAGATTTATATATTAGAGTGATGCAATTCCTTAATGAAATAAAAGTAAATGGGCTCTCTGCCTCTCTTGCTAATTCATCTTTCATATATTTCACATGAGAAGTTTTGTTTTTTTTTTACTCAACTAATTATTATGTCGTGGCATTTTTTTTTTAATAATTATACTTCTTTTATTTATGTAATTTTTTTCATGTTGAGACTCATATATTTTTAAGGAACAGTCAATTAAAATTTTGAAAAAATAAGTAGATATGATTAAAAAAAATTAAATCATAATTAAGAAAAATATTTTACTTCAAAAGATGAAAGGGGTTATAGCACACATACTATTACCATCAATTGTGGCTACATCTCTATTTTGAAAACTTAAATGAAACTAAAAAATTGCCTTCTTTTTTTTTTAAAGGAAATGTTTATGTAAGAAAATTTATAAGAAATTGTTATGGCATTCAATTTTAAGTTTTTTTAGACAACTTTTGGTCCTTATTTCTCGCTATTTTCAAATAATTTGTGCTAAAAAGCTGCCTTGGAAAATAGTAAGAAAACTAACCCAAACGAAACTATGCTTTGTTTGGAACCGCTTTCTTATTGCTTTCTACAATAGTTTTCTACCATAAAAATTTTTTGAAAGCAGTGGTTAAAAGCTTTCTTAAATGAAGTCTTAGGCTTCGTTTGGAACAGCTTTTTATGCTTTTTAAAACAACTTTTTAGTATAAAAATTTTGTGAATTAGAAAATTTTAAACTAGAAAGCCATTTTAGAACTGTTTCTTAAAGCACATTTCAAGTAAAAAATTTTAATTTTTGTACTAAAAAGCTGTTTTAAGAAGCAGCAAAAAAGCCGTTCCAATTGATGACTGCTCTTATTTTGAACTCATATCTAAACCCAAATTTATCTTCACTCTCGACTCTCATTGACAGAACGAACCATCACCTTCACATAACACATTTCAGCTGCTATGTTGGAAGCATCATCAGCTGTATTGGACGAATTCTCTCTTCTCCTGATACCTTTCTAGTTTTTTTTTTCTGGTCTCCTTTAATTATTTTCCTTAAGTATAGATCATTTTAAAAGACTTTAAAGCCGTTTTTCTCTTTCACAATTGTAACCATCATAATATTGTAAATCAATTCATAATTTTAAGATTTATGATGGTTATAACTGATGCAAATCTGTAAGTTTGTATCGGTTATAACCGTTGCTAAAAATAACACTTCACTATATCTACCCCACCGGTTCTTAAACCGTTGTTGAATGTCGTTGCATCGCATTGCAATTACAGCTGTGGTGCACCGATTTTAAAACCGTTGCAAAGAAAAAAATGACAGTTATAACCGCCGTTATAGGTCAAAATTTGTGTTGCGATGACCCTATTTTTTGTTATCTTTCAAAAAAGATTTATATATTAGAGTGATGCAATTCCTTAATGAAATAAAAGTAAATGGGCTCTCTGCCTCTCTTGCTAATTCATCTTTCATATATTTCACATGAGAAGTTTTGTTTTTTTTTTACTCAACTAATTATTATGTCGTGGCATTTTTTTTTTAATAATTATACTTCTTTTATTTATGTAATTTTTTTCATGTTGAGACTCATATATTTTTAAGGAACAGTCAATTAAAATTTTGAAAAAATAAGTAGATATGATTAAAAAAAATTAAATCATAGTTAAGAAAAATATTTTACTTCAAAAGATGAAATGGGTTATAGCACACATAATTTTGAAAACTTAAATGAAACTAAAAAATTGCCTTTTTTTTTTAAGGAAATGTTTATGTAAGAAAATTTATGAGAAATTGTTATGGCAGTCAAATTTAAGTTTTTTTTAGACAACTTTTGGTGTTTATTTTTTCGTTATTTTCAAATAATTTGTGCTGAAAAGATGTCTTAGAAAATAGTAAGAAAACTAGCCCAAACGAAACTTTATGCTTTGTTTGGAACAGCTTTCTTATTGCTTTCTACAATAATTTTCTACCATAAAAATTTTTTGAAAGCAGTGAAAAAGCAGTGGTTAAAAGCTTTCCCAAATGAAATCTTAGACTTCGTTTGGAACATTTTTTTATGATTTTTAAAACAATTTTTTAGTATAAAAATTTCATGAATTAGAAAATTTTAAACTAGAAAGTCATTTTAGAATTGCTTTTTAAAGCACCTTTCAAGTACAAAATTTTAATTTTTATACTAAAAAACTGTTTCAAGAAGCAGTAAAAAAATCGTCCCAAACGAAGCCTTAGTTTTCAACCAATGTAAAGTGCGTTTGGATATTGATGCCTACTGTTTTTGCCTTTGTTATTGTGATGTTATTGATGACTGCTCTTATTTTGAACTCATATCTAAGCCCAAATTTATCTGATGTTGGAAGCATCATCAGCTGTATTGGACGAATTCTCTCTTCTCCTTATACCTTTCTAGTTTTTTTTTTTTTTGTCTCATTTTATTTTTTCATTAAGTATATATCATTTTTAAAGCCTTTAAAGCCATTTTTTTGGCTCTTTCACAATTGCAACCGCCACAATACTGTAAATCAGTTCATAATTTTAAGATTTGTGGCGGTTATAACAGATGCAAATCTATAAATTTGCATTGATTATAACCACTGTTAAAAATAGCACTTAAGCATATATCTGCCCCGCCGGTCCTTAAACCGTTGCGGAATGTCGTTGCAACGCATTACAATTACAATGACAGTGCAGCGAAAGTGGCAGTTATAACAACCTGTATAGGTCAAAATCTGTGTTGCGATAGCCTTTTTTTTTTTTTTGATAGCGCAAATCTATACATATAATCAGATGCAACTTGCTCTTTTGTTAATTAAAAAATTATTAGTTTTACAATAATTACTCAACTAATTATACAAACAGCTATATATGTCCGACATAAACCTCTAATCAAGAGATTGGAAATGATTTTCAAGTCCCACATTCAATCCTATATTTTTCAATTTCAAAGTCACCTAATGTAGAGAGAGAGAGAGAGAGAGAGAGAGAGATTTCAGTGGTTAGTGATATGAGATTCTGCTTACTAAGTGTAAAAGTTAAGGAAGAATCTATCATTTCTCTTCCCCCTCACATTTAAGTGATGTTTTTTTATCTTAAAATAAAAATGTATTAAATAAACCTTAACTAAGACTTTATTTAGTACTGCTTTTTAAACTGAAAAATTAGTTTAAAAAACAATAAAAAAGACGTCCCAATCGAAGTCAAAATCAGATTAATAACCTGCAAGAAATATAATTTATGATCAACAGGGAAACTTAAAAAATTCTTTGATGCTATCAAATTATCCTAACTGAACAAACTGATTACATCACATATTTTAGTCACCACAACAATTTTTGCTTTAGAGCAGAGCCCTACATGAGGTCCTGGTTGGGTACCCACGCTTAGTGCTGGCAGGCTTTGCCCACCCACGCCCATCTATGATGACTTTCGGGATATCATACCCACCCACTTTCCACGCTTCTTGAATGCAATCTACCACGGATTAATGGCTTTGAGGTTTATTGCCATTTTCTCTGACTGCAAACTTTCAAGCCACATTTCAAAATTTATCATGGGTGCGGCGTGGTTTAGTACTGCACACTGCGCAGTAAAGACTACTGTAATATACTGCATACATATGATGATTAGTAATGTAAATCGGTTTGTCCGCTGATGTTGAGTACCCACCCATGAGGTCATGGGCATACCCATACCCACCCATGCCCATTGGGAATGGGTGGATACGTGGGTGGGTGTGGGTATAGGTAACCAATGCAAGGCTCTACTTTCAAGGGAAGAAAAGTAAAATAATAACAAGATATAATCCATTGGCAACATGATCGGCAACATGATCGGCAATAAAACACTCATGAAATGATTTCATAGTTTCATTTCATAAATATCAATTAAGAAAAGACTTCACCATATGGTTTTAATTAATAACTAATGATCAAATAAGAAGGTGGTAATGTTTATTAATACTTGAAATTATATCATCTAATCATTCATTTCTCAGGCCCAAAAAGATATAATCCACAGCATTGGAAGACTGTGAATTCGTAGTTGGAAAATATTGACAGAACTGAAGCTATTCAATTAAAAAAAAAATAAATAATATGCCAAAATTGGCTATCTTGTTCAATGCAGCTCTGTAAAAGAGAAATGGCCGCCATGCTTCTCTGCTGGTTTCCTCGCATTTATTCCCTCAAGCTCAGACTTCTCCAACCAGAATCTCAAACAGCACTGGCGCAAAGTTTTCAAGCACACTTAAGGCTTCGTTTGTGACCGCTTTTTATTGCTTCTTAAAATAACTTTTTAGTTTAAAAATTAAAATTTTTATACTAAAAAGTTGATTTAAAAAGCAATACGAAAACTATATCCCAAACGAAACCTAAAAAAAGGTCCCAATCATAAAAATTTCTGAAATCAATTTCTACGCCGAGCTTGTGCTCATCTTTTTCTTTAAAACTCTCTTTCGCCGAGGCTTTGAACGTTTGTCCGCTGAATCTCCAGACTTCTGACCGAGACCAATTAATCCAAGACCAGATATTATGGCGTTCTTGGAAATGAACCAGTTTGAAGATGGCTGGTTAATAGCAGCATCTGGTGGCCTGCTGTAGGCTTTGAGGAGAGTATCTGAATGAACGAGTGGATCTGCTTCAATTCCTAGCCAAGCAAGTCTGGAACTCTCCCCAACATGAACATTCAAAACCCTGAAAGATGCATATCAGTAACATGGCTATTTCTACTAATAAAAAAAAAATCTGTTCCTTCAGGGTTCAAAAAAATCTAGAACAGACTTAAATTATTAATAAAAGCTGACAATAAATGAAAACTGATTTAAGTTCTAGTATAATAATCCAGCTTTTAATGTTTGCTGCATGTAAAATCCAGAAGTTTGAAACAAATATATCATTAATGATCATATCATCATCGTTAGGTTTATCCCAATTATAAATATCCTTCTCTACAGTTCTATTGAGGGAGATTAGATCACAACTTAAAAGATTTCGTAAAACTTGTTCACAACTTTTAGCAATATTTCGTTTAATCTAATAATATTTGTAAGAAACAGCGTTCAGTACTAGTCAAGCCAGCTTGTAAACATCTAAGAAATAAAAAATATCAATTAATTTTTCATAAGAGGGTCTAGTCCTTTCTTAATGATGTCAGCAATTTGATCGGTGAAAGGAATATATAAACACATAGGATCCTCATTTCGAATTTTCTTTTTAATGAAGTGTCGATCTATCTTCATATATTTAGTCCAATCGTGATGGATAAGATTGTGCTATACTAATAATCGATATAGTATATCAATTAATAACATGGCAGTCTAAATAGTTACTTGATGTTCTTCCTAGATCAATTAACTTATCTGAGTTTTAGTACTGCTCTACTCTTTGTCACTACATTTTATTGTTTTGCTTCTCCAGGCAACAAATTTGCCCACACATTTATGTCCACTATTCATAAGTGGATATTTTGTCTAGTATAGATCTAGCCAAATCAACATCAGTATACGCTTCCATAAATTTGGATTCTCTTTTTTAAAAGAAAAACCCCCTTTTAGGTATTTGAAAATCCTAATAATAGCATTCAAGAGTTCTTATAAAAAACATAAATAAACTTACTTACCAAATTGACAAAAAAGGTTATGTCAGATATGAAATGAGACAAATAGATGAATTTTCCCACCAACCTTCAATATCTTCCTTTATTGACTAGATAGATGGTGCTAAATCACTTAATTTAATGTTAGGATCAGTTGGAGTGTCAATTTGCCTTTAATTAAGCCAATTTCTTTTAAGAGATTTAGAGCATAACTTTTTTGAGAGATGATGAGGCAGATTTTGTTATGAGAGATTTTCATTCTACGAAAATATTTGAGATACTCAAGATCTTAAATTTTGAAGTCTTATATCAATTATTTTCTTAAAGGTAACTTATCTACAAATCATAATCTAATGTAGCAATGATGTCATCAACATGTATAATTAATATAGTAGACTTGGCATTATCGTGTTTGTAAAACAGTGTGATCAAAGTGAGTATGTTTCAATACTCATTCACTCACATCATTTGTGAACCTCTTGAACCAAACTCAAGGTGATTGTTTGGGCCCATAAATAGATTTCTTTTATTTACAAACTAATTTTGTCTTCCATAAGTTAATCATTATTGGAGGCGGATTCATGTAGATTTCCTCATTTAAGTGACCATTCAAGAATACATTCTTAACATTCACTTGGTGAAGTGGCAAGTTGATGGACCGACCGAAGAGAGAGGTACTTAGAAAGATTATTAATCAAAGGGGAATTATTTATGAATGTTTAATTTACAATTGGGACGGAATTATTTAAGCAAGATATCTAATTTGAATTCAAAATCTAAGAGGAAATTAGGGGGGATTGTTTAGGAAACTTATAATTACAATTAGAAGAGAATTAATTAGGTAAATAAATATAATTTGAATTCAAATTTGAGAAAGAATTATTTAGAGAAAGGAGATTGATTTGGAAGGGAATTATGGAAGCCTATTTAAGGCTAACAATAGGATTATTTTAGGAGGATGTTTTAGAGTTTGCTGAATTTAATTTATTCTTAGATTATTTGGGATCTAGCCGGCAGGCTAGGGATTTGGGAGAGTCGGATCTTCAATTAGATCTTCCTCTCTAATTGAAGATCCAATTGTATCTTTCATTTTTCTTTTTAGTTCTTTCAATAAAAAATATGTTTGGGTGTTCTTCTTCTCTAATTTTCGTGTTTCATCTGCTGATCTTTGTGAAAAATACATCCACTCCCTATCAAATTGGTATCATAGCCATATTTTTGTGAAAAGTGCATTCACTTTCTCTCAAATCAGTATTAGAGCACTTTTTTGGGACCTATGACAGCAAAAAAAGTTGATTCCTTGGAAGAGCATCTTAAAGGAAAAATTGACCAACTCAAATTGGCGTTTGAGGATAGAATGACATCAATTGAGGAAAAGTTTTCCAACCTAGGAGAAATGATAAAGAAGCTATTAGAGTTTCACACCCAATAAATAACATCGGAGGCGAGAGAATTGTTGATTGGACAAGGAAGTTGGTGAAACCCTAATATAGAGACGATGAGGGAAGGAGGTAGAGCTTTTGGGGGAAGAAGAGGGATGCCATCTTTGGAGCCACTTCTAAGAAAGAGAAAGGGTGAAAGAGTGAGATTTTTTGTGGAGCTGAAAAGTTAGGAAGGAGAAGAAGATGGGGAGAAGATAGAAACACCAGACATGCTTCAGCCACTCCTACAACAGTATCGAGAGGTGTTCCAGCAAGTTCATGGGTTGCCTCCTCTCACATGCGATTATTTTGAAGGAGTATCACCTATCAACGTTCGTTTGTACCATCATCCCCAAATCCATAAGGATGAGATCAAGAAATTGATTAAGAAGATGTTGGAGGAAGGGATTATTTGACCCAATATCAATCCATTTTTCAATTTAGTGCTACTAATAAAGTGCTTCAGCGACAGTTTTCTTCGTTCCACCTTGAGGACAATGTGGCACTTCGGGATGGGAGTATTGATGGACCGACTGATTTGATTGGGAGAGAATCCGAAAGTTTCCTAATCGAGAGAGAGGTATTAGGAATGTTATTAATGAAAGGAGAATTATTTAGGAATATTTAAATTACAGTTGGGAGGGAATTATTTAAGCAAGAGAACTAATTTGAATTCAAAATATAAGAGGGAATTATTTAAGAAAAATGAGGAATTAAGTGGGGGTTGTTTAGGAAAATTTTAATTACAGTTAGGAGAGAATTAATTAGGAAAATAAATATAATTGGAATTCAAATCTAAGATGGAATTATTTAGGGAAAGGGGGCTGATTTGGGAGGAAATTATGGGAGCCAATTTAAGGATAACAATATGGTGATTTCGAGAGGATGTTTTGGAGTTTACTGAATTTTGGCATTCTTCTTCCCAATTTTTTTATGTTTCATCTGCTGATTTTTATGAAAAGGGCATCCACTTCCTATCAAATTGGTATCATAGCGATATTTTTGTGAAAAGGGCATCCACTTCCTATCACAAGTTAATGTTAATTTGCAATTGAAAGAAGTCGTCGATAAGTTTCACCATAGGAGCAAAGATTTCAAAATAGTCAATCCTATACATTTGGGAGAATCCTTTCGCAACTAGTCGTGCTTTCTATCTTTTTTGTGAAAATCATATTTCTTGAACTGAAGTCCTAAGTTTGATCTTGTAATTAACACAATTAAGTGAAATTTTCAAGATTCCAATAAGTGAATGTTGACTTTCTCTCAATTGCTTTTGTGGAGTTGTGATCTAATGTATTCTTTCGTGGAATTGAAAAATCAAGACATCAACAGGACATCGTTGATTTCCCATGATGGAAAGGAAGGGTAAACCATTTCATAGATGAATAATACCAATTAGGCATCCAATTTTCCTCTTCCCTAAATCCTATGATGCACCGACACTTCTGCTCAAAAGAGGCGTACAGTGTCCAATACATCCGACACGACACACGTTCGACGCTCATCCGACACGTGTCGGACATGCCAAAAACATGTCTGATAAAAAATATTAAATACAAATTGGACATGTGTGTCTTAAATATTTTATGATTTTGTTAAATATTATTTCTTGTATTTAAAAATTTTACTTATTTAAATTATAAAAACTAAATTTCTTATTTCCTATCCACAACACTAAATCAATCGCCCGCACTCAATATCTCATTCATTGAATATTCTCATTTTCATTTCTCTTTGGAGGGTTATGACTTTGATTTCACAAAAATATCTGATGTCATCTAAACATCGATGTCTGATATCATTACAACATCTACATTTCAAAATGATTTCCATATCAAAGTCTAACATTGTCTTGACATTAATGTTTGACGCTAGCAATTTTTACACCCACAACTCGACATCTCATCTTTGTCGGACGTCTTCCCAACATCAACGACCAACATACTATCAATATACATGATAAACACTCTCTTAACATAGACGCCCGATATTTACTGCATAACATTGATGTCCGACTCTCGACAACATTATTGTCTCCTCTCTCGATGATAAATAATCGACATCCTAATATTATCATTTTAAGCACAACCTCTAGTTAAATGACTTAATATTTCTAAATTATTTTTAATATTATACTTATTACATTTTAATACACTATTTTTAAAATATAAAAATTATAATAACATGTCCAACCTGTGTCCGACTGTCCGTGTCCTATATTTTCAATAATTGACATGTCTTGTGTCCGTGTCATGTCGTCTCCGTGTCGCCGTGTCCGTGTCTGTGCATCATAACCTAAATCACAATTTCAACGAGTCAAGATGGTTGGAAGATGATCTTCCCAATTCATTGGTAGGAAGTGATTAGAAGCAGTGAATGCTCCATGCCTCCATGGAGAATCCCCAAATAATGGTATAATTTGGTAAGCTGGAGGGAGAATCAAACTTCTCTCCTTTGTCATACGGCCCATACCTAGATATGGTCCTCTTGCAGTTGTCAGACATCACTTAGACAGAGCCTATTCTTTATACCATTTAAGAAAGAAGTAGAAGAGAAATAGGAGGTAAGAAATGTTGAATACTCCATTGTTTTATTTGGATATAACATGGCTTTATTTATAGGAATTATAATGGGTAAAATCAAGAAAAAATAAACTATAAACGACAAGAGACGATATGGCAACAATGGCACTTAAAAACTTCTAAAATTAGAAGAAAAAATCTCTAAGAACGAATACAAAAGGTATCTACTAAATTTGCTCAACACATCGGCCATAGGACAATATTCAGGGGTGGAAAAAAAGCCATGTCAGCAATTTGAGGAGCCCCACTGCCATAACAACACACTTTCAAACCTAGACAATTCACCATGTGCAGGAATCTCAATATTTACACCCCTAGGATGCTTACCAGCATACTTGCCTCCAATTGTAGTGAGTCCATAGCTCTTTGGAATGAACGGAAATACTTGTTTCCTACTTCAGGAAAGTAATGGTTGTGAATTATTCAACACTATTCCTTCTTAATTCATTTGCATTAATTCTATGAGTTTCAATGTAGATCTTATGTCCTCCATGATATGTCTACTCTAAACCACCTAAGTTTATGATTCATAATTAAAATTTCAATCTCATTGTTAAACTATTAAATAAAAAATATATTTTAATTTGACAACTCCCCCAAAATCTGCCAACCATAGAGAACCACTGGACCCTGTTATGCACCAAAAATGCTCAAGAAATCTCTTCAAGTGTCTGACCCTTACACCATAAAAGCAACCCACGTTCCCACTTTACTACATATAAACGTCAGCTGATTGCCAAGAAGATAAATTTCAACTAGGATCCCCGAGTAGCATATCCTAACATCCAACATAAAACCCCATTTATCACAAAAGTTTAATTTTTTTCTTTTATATTAAAAGAATTTTTGAAGCATTCATAGTAAATAGGTCAAAACTACTGTTCAATTATCGCCAGTTCACCATATCAGTGATTTCTATTATCAAACAATATCAAAAAGTAATTCAATTGTGGTTTAAAATAGGGAGTAGGTTCTTAAATTTACGTTGAATTTACATATGGCAAGTTTTTTCAAAATTACAGGAAAAGATTACAAATACAAGAACAGCCAGAAAGATTAAATTAGAGCATGCCTGAACAGGGTTTGCCAGGTAAAAGACGAAGAAAACTGAATATTGACCAATAACATGTTTAAGCAAAGGACTCCTGAAAGATATACAATTTCATACCTCAATACGGTGCTGAATATCATCGCAACACCCAGGACATCAAAGCGATCAAACATAGCTCTGTCAATCCCACATATTAACTGATAGCGTAAGTTTGAATAGAGCCCTAAGAAAGCCCCATAGCCAAGAGCATTGTTGCTCACAGATGGAATGGTAACTGATAGCCTATCCATTCGATATCACAAATAGTGAAGTTAGATAGTTCTAGACGGTAAACTGAATTTTCTGGATGAATAGAAGAGCCATACAAAGAATTATGTTGAGTACAAACCTTCCTTCCTTCCTTGAGGAAATTGCTTTCGACAAGGAACCTTGAATTGATCCAGCTGTTAACCCAACCAAACAAAGTTCTGCAGCCTTATAAAAGAAAGAGTGAATTCTCTTGTGTAAATCAAACTCTCTCATAGGATAACTCTTCTCAAAAATATTATTAGGGAGCTTCTGTATTGTATTTTGCAAGTCAAACCGAAAGGTGCTCCCATATGAACGGCAAGGTGCAAGTGACCAGACAATGAAAGCATTGCAGGTAGCTACTGTCACAACATTAATAAGTGCCAAATCCCACTCTTCTTTAATCCTAGATACAGTAAATCGGATTCTTATCAATAAATTGCATCAGCAAGTACTTTACTACGAATTTCAATTGGGATAATCTACCTTCCTTTGCGGTTCTTCAACTCCCACCAAACAGTACTGCCTATAGTGGCGGCTTGCTCCAATAGTAGCTTGTAAAGGAAAGATGGGTCAGCGATCATCCTGCAAGAATATAAGCAAATGAAAATTGCCCAGCAAAGGCAAAAACCAACAGCAAGAAGTAAAGCAAAAAAACTTTATCCACCACTGTGGAATTTGGTGTTTGTTGCATTAAAATAAATTTATATGCGGCAAACTTCAAGTTAAGTGAGAAACAGAGCTTAAATAACTCAGACAGCTACAGAATAGTTTAAAAATAATATTGAGTAGGGGCAGCAACAATATCTAAGCCTTGAGGGAGTGAAAATTCAAGGGATTAACAATATGTATGATACAACTAATATTTAAAAAGCAAAGAACATTTTCATTATCTAAACTGTAAAACGTAGAAGAAATACAGAATCATATGATATAATTATGATTCAAAATGAAAATCTCTTAGACTAAAACAAAAATAGCAAAGCGTTGCTCAAATGGGGCAACAAGATGACACCGACGGTACTAAAATAAATCATATATTAGACGTCATCTCAAAAAATATATCCATGTGAGTATTTTTTTTGCTTTTTTATTAAGGAGCCTACACAACACGATAATATTAAACCTTAATGAAAGGTTATTTGGAAGACAAATATTTGAGGTTCCATAGTTTTAATATGTACAATGAATAGAGTGCATGTCTGCTCTAGAATCTCTTAAATCTAGGATTTGCATACTGACATGTGTTTGAAGTTAGGAGAGAACTAAGATGCACCGATACTTCTCCTTAAAGAGGTGTGCCGAAGACGTGTCCGATTAAAAAATTATTAAAAACAAATTGAACACTTGTATTTGACACTAATTTGTTGAGCCATTGACTTCACATAGTTGAGTAGCATCACGAACTTTAGAATACATTGGATTTATCTTATCCCATATTTTATTTGCTAGTAGAGAAACACACATCACTTATCTTCAGTGTTATAGAGATCCATAATCATAACATCACCATAGAGTCATGTACCCCAAACATTAACATGGGATCTCCTGTTTTTTAGGTATGGTGCCAAGTAAATGACCTAGTTTTCATCTTCCCTTCAAGAAAATGCCAACCAATTGCGATCACTTTCGGTAATTCTTTTCATTCAATCGAAATCTTGAATGGAAGTTCTGCATTTCTCCTTTTGAAGTGCAGCCCCTAGACCTAAGGGAACTCAAGACCAAGGGAATATGAACATTATTGTTATTGTTGCCCATGAAGAGGAAAGTGTGGCAACAATTTTTTGTGAAAGTAGGAAAAAAATAAACAAAAACAGAAAAGTTTTATATCTCATAAAATAGAAAGAAAATAAAAGAGAAGGCACTTAAGAAAAATTTCCCATAGCTATATTATATAGATCTATAAACACTAAATAGGGATAATTTTGTTCAATAAAATTAAGCATTTTCCCTCTCCAATTCTCTGAATTTAACAATATATATATATATATATATATATATAATGTCAAGAAACATAACAAAAAGCTACATTTCATTTTGAATGTATATCCCTTTTCTTCCTAAATATCCATATTAAATTCTCTAAATTTATTACAATATATGAAATCAAATGCAGATAAATGTGACAGTTGAGATATCAAAAAGAATCAAAACTTGAAAAATCAATTTTGCACATTTAGTAAAAAAAAATAAAAATTGCACATTTAGAATATTAAATGCATTCAACACGAAACAACGAAATCCAATTATGTACTTACATAGGTTTGTATCATTGTCATCATAACTGTTACTCAATAAATTGGGCCTACTCTACAAAGGCATGTATCCATAAATTAAAATTCATGATCTTCTTCCAATAATTTGAAGTCGGCTATACACAAGCATGTATTCAGAAACTAAAATTAACTAGAGATGCATAGGGTTAATATTCAGAAGCAAGTACTCTCATGCAAAGCAACTTCAATGCAAATAATAGGCGGACAAGCTTTCCCTTTCACTATTACCTTCCAATGAAGGCTCTTGACAGGGATGGAGAAAGAGCTCGAGAAATAAGCCTAGATGTTGTTGGTCTGGCATTGATTGATAAAAAACGAACCAATTGTGCTGAGCTCACCAAACCCTAAAATTCAATTCCAAATTTACACCTTAAGCATAATCATGAATGAAAACCATAAATGTACAAGATGTGCAATACCATTTCACAAGCTTGCCGTAGTCCACCAGGCAAATCTGCCATGGTTTTATACCACTCATTAAAGACAGCATCAACAAATTCCCTATCAAAAAACTGTCAAAAATATTTAGTGGATTTAGAAATGATGATATTCCTTGACGAATTATCTTCATTTTTGAAAACAATGAATTATATAAATGAATAAGGAAAGGAATAATATGGATACCTCCTTTATAACAATCCTCTTTCTGAACCATCCCCCTTCATCTCCTTCATCTCCATCATCAAAGTCATCAAAGTAGTCATCATCATCACCATCATCATCACCTCCATCACCCCCTCCATGAAAATTTTTCTTTCCAATATCTCCACCTCCCCCACCTGTCGCTAACTACAAAATACAAAAATATTGCATAAAAGATTAAAATAATGCCAAAGGACAAAAAAAGAAATATTTAGAAGATAAAAACAATTGTCTAAAAACATCCTAATAACAAATGAAAAAGAACTAAACAAAACCTAGAAAAATAAACATAATAAAAAAATGATGGACAAGTGGTGAAGCCAAGAGATATTGCAAAAGATAGAAAATATTAAATAATAGGAAAGTAAATTTTAAATAAATTTTCACAAAGGGGTAGTTAAGATAGAGTAAAAAGAATTAAGTGATGAAAGTACTATGATGGCAATAGTTAGAAAAAACTAGAATGCACATATTTCTGGCTTGAATAATGTTAAAGCCACACTAAAGCAAATAGGGTATATTGTTGTATGCTTAACCAGTCACACTAGCTTTATTCCATATATTTAGGGGATTGGATTCAAGAATCTTTATTTTGCATTCCCATTCCCATTTACAAAAACTTCTTTGAACTCGATCATGTTATGTTTAATCAATCTACTTTCCATCCTATTCCATCTAAGTTAACTCTATCTCCTTAACTCTATGTCCTTAAATTTCATCTCCCTACATTGCTGGTGCATCTATTGGTGCCCATTTGTACAAGCCCAAAACAACTTGGCCTATTATCTATATTCTTATCTTTAATAGATGCTACTTGTGCAATTCTTATAAAAATAATAATTTTGAACACTATCCCATCCAAAATTTCAAGCAAGAAATGTAAGATGGTGAAGTTGTATGAAAAGTAGTCAAAGCATACCCTGACAATGGACTAGCAGCATAGGCACCAAGTGCATTTCAACTTATTTTAGACATTAGCAAATAATGAAATTTTAAGTAAGGTAAACAATAAATTTGTCAGTGAGATACTGAGATGAAATGAGTGGATTATGTGGTTTCATTTTGTTTCAACAAGAAGATAAACATATAAATAGAATGGTATATATATTCTAAAACAAGTTATATTTCAAGTTTAACATATCAAACATAGACTAGTTACTAAAGAGCAGCTATTTACATGATCATAATTTCAGCATATTGATAGAAAATACTTGTATTCACAAGTATTCCTAACCCAAATCAGTAAATCACAGCAATATGGTTGCTGTCCACCACAGGAAACAGCCACAAAACAGAGAGAAACAAGGGATTTTCACTAGAAATCTGAGAGAAAACGAAGCAAAACTCTTGTATTCCAATAGTAGATGCAAACAACAAAGAAAGATACACTTTTCCTTCAATTCGAGAGGAAGGAATTACTCTCCACAATCTCCGGCAACGCCAAGAGCTCAAGAACAAAACCTAGATCTCAAATAAGATTCAAATTCAAGATAATCCCTCATTGCCTAATTACTCCCTAATTAAAGCAAAAGGAAAGATACAAATTACCTAAACACCCTCCTCATTCAAAAATGCCCTCCAAAGAAACGCTCAAAGCTTGCCTGGGCCAGCTCCTTCTTCAGCCAATTTTGCGATTGGTTCCGCACGGCTCTGGGCCGCCGGGTGTAGAACCGGACCGGTCCAGCTGGGACCGGTCCAAACGTAACACATATCTTACATATGTAATCTATTAGTCAGGGTTCATTTGACAATGTTTTGTAGTTAATATGTGGTTTATAAAATAAAGTGATTGCTACTCTTAAGAAGACGACAAAGTTTCACAGGAAATGTGTTGCTTGTACATATAATATAGGGCTTTCTTTTGCATATGCACCTTGACAACATTAAATGATAAGCATTACTAAATAAAGAGGCACTTAAATATGTTAAAAAAAAAACTTCCTCCACGTGCTCTTGCATTTCTATGGTTTTGATTTTTCTGATAATAAATGCACACCTCAACATGCATGCATTTCCACGCAAACGGCATCAACATCATCATAAGCAGGAAAAATCACCTTATTCTAAGTTTACAACTATTTTAAGAAAGTTCCTATGCATTTTAACATAAATGACCATAACATACTAGCCTACTACTATGTTATTCTCACCAATAATTGATTATGGAATCATACTTAAGAGCAAGGGCAGATTTAATGGAGACATGAGAGGGCGTGCAACCCCTCCAAATTTTAACATATCTTTATATATCCTTTTTTTTCTTGCGTAAATATAATTTTTACAAATAAATATTCAATTTGTGCCTTCCAAGATTTTGGGATTTAGAGTTATAGAATATCTATTCAAAAATATAAATGGTATTTTAAGATAGCCAATTTGTATCCCATTAAGAAATTTTCTCCGGAGCATTAGGTACTCATTTCTACCAAACTCATCTCCATTCAAATCTTACTTAATGCTCAAAACTCTATTTCACTGTATTAATAGTTTCAATACATGGAAATAGAAAATGAAGGATGCTGTATTAGCACCCTTTTATCATTCAATCCCTATTTGGGTATTATTGATACATTCACAAGAACCAGATTGATGTTCGCAACCACCACCAAAACACTAAGCATCATCAGCCGTCTTACCCCCACTTGATACAATGCAAAAAAACTGACTTCATGAACTAATGTACTTTTATAATCTTTCCTTTATACATAATGGGCACCAGGTAGGAAAAGCCCATGCGATTTCATCACATCATCTTAATCTCCCTTAGTCATAATGTCACCTCTTTTAAGACAAATCCCCTAATGTACATGTCTATCCATACTTATCAACATTCAAATGATAAAAGGACTTTCTTTATTCATGAGTCAACACAAATCCATCTCGAATTTTGATTTCCATCCCACTAATCTATTTAAGGAATCTTAATTGCCCAGAACTCTAGTTATAAGAAAATATCATTCAATCAAACTTCTGCTTCTCTAAATTAACACAACTTGAAAGGAAAAGCAACAAATCTGTGCCTGGTCATTACAATTCCCCAATGGCTACATCATTGGTAAGATTGACAGCAACCACAGGAGACTATCCTCTCTTGTCCACTTGGTATAATAATTCAAATTTTCAAGTGCAATTTCGAGGAAATACCATGATGCTTCCACCAGCCACAAAAACTAATCAACTTTGGCGTTCTCTCAGTTGCATAACAGGCTTAACAGTTAGTTTGTTACTCAGGAACCGAGCTAGATTTCTCGGATAGATCATGTAAATATCAATAAAAGGTTATGCACGAAAGAAAATAGCAACTCACTCGAACTACATCGGATTTTTTTCAATATAACTATCAAATAAAATATAATACTAATAAATAGACAGCTGACTTCTTCAACAGTTCCTGCCAGAAGTCCTTCCTACGACTACATAGAGCAGTATAAAAGCTTCCAGCCGAATCCACTCAAGCACAACCATGACTAGGGCAGCAACGAGGTCGTTTACTTGAAACACCCGTGGAAATAAGAATTAGGTTATCTGTCCCTCCAGAAAACAAGCCAGAAAGGGTAACCACGATTCCAATCTTCAACTCATTAGCATCAAACAGAATCTAACGCTGCCATAAAAGAAAGAGGGAAAGAGTTGGACTCACTTCGGGACTCGACTTAGTTGTCTTTTGAGAGAGATCCAACTTAGACTTCTCGAGAGTAACCGCACCATACGCCCCATACTCTTTCTTCATCGTCGGCGAGAGCATCACGCCATTGGCAGAAGAGGAGGGTCCGGAATCCGGTGAAGCGGCGAAGCAGCGCTCGAGAGCATCGAGGAAGTTGGAGTCAGAGAAGGCGGGAGGGATGTCGACTGTAGAGGAGGAGGCCACAACATTGAAGCAGGGCTTCCTCTTGACGAACGGCAGCGACAGGGTGCTACCAGCGGCAGAGGCCACGATATGGCGAAGGGGCTTCCTCCGAGAGAGAGCGGACGTCGTAATCCGGACGGAAAGGCGACGGCGGCCGAAAACAGCAGTGCGGTGGCCCGCGATGAGAGGTCGGGGAGAAGTTGGGCACTGAAAGACAGCAGAACTCGAAGCCATGACTTCTTTCCCGGTTTCCCCCTGCGTCGCTCGCTTTCTGGTTTGGGTGTTTTGCTTTCTTTCTATCCCATGCGATCGTCAGGACTCGCGGCCCTATCGCTATTCAAGAGGAAGAGGAGATGCGAAGCTTAGGTCGCAGCCACAGGTTTTAGGTCTTTAACACGTGACACGATAGCAAGGAATCGCTTTCTTTAAATGGCCTTTCATCATATATTTATAGAATTTTAAATGCTCCAAAATTAATTAATTATATATATAAGTAATATGTCTTAATTAAAATATTCAATTTGATTAATTAGTTTATTGGGTTCCTAAGAAGTTAATGATTTGGTGTATATTGAAAACTTTTCATGACTAAAATTGTCTGCTTGTATAATTATAGATGTCGACTTTAAATATTGTACCTGTCGAAAAATCTGCATGCTTGAGATGAGTTACTAGAATGTAGTTGTCTACTTGACTTAAGCGCTGCTGAAAACGGATGAGTTTCTTCCAAATTAAGACCAAGTTGTTTGAGTTGTTTTTAGCTTAAACTAAATTGACTTGGCTTATTAAACCTCCTTGATTGGGCTTGAACCAAATTTGTTGGATATTTGATTATATATTTAGTTTCATTATTCTCTTGTTTTTTTGGAGAGAAGTTTATTTAAAAAATAAGAGATTGAATTAAAAAAAAAAAAGACCAACAAATTCAATCATTCTATTTAAGCACTCACAAAAAAATATATAATTGATAATCTATAAATACTTCTCTATCTCTTATATTTTTTTACATCTATATTCCTATTGATTTCTTATAATGTTTGTGTCATTGTCTCTCCCAAGCTATGGATGCTCCAAAGTTTTCTCCCTTGGATGATAATTTAGGAAAATATGGAAGAATTGACCAAAAAAGGTATTGGAGAAACTTTTGCTCTTCACTTGAAAAAAATGAGCGAGGAGGCCGATGAAAGTGGAGAAAAAAGCGTAGTTGAAGATCCTAATGCAAGTGAGATTATTAAAGAATCTCTCCATATCAAAGAGTTTTATGTTAAGTTTTTCTTCGTCAATTTCAAATTGGATGGAGGCCACAAAGAAAGCCTTTGATGGTGTTTTTGCTTTAAGTAATTAAATGGTAGATTCTCCTAATCATCCCACAAGTTAGGTTACAAAAATAGTCCTTAAAAAAGAAGCTAAGTTCAAAAAACATTATTGACTTCAAACCTTGCTGGGAGCTTCAAAGATTTGATGACTTTTATTGTCAATATAAAAACTACAAATAGTAGATTTCATCGTTGATTCCAAACTGAAAAGCACGAGACATTCGAGTATTTTATTGAAACCTAGCTCTTTAGGGAATATGAAAAAAATTTGCCTCAATAAATTGGTAGAAAATTTTTCATTGTTGGCAAATCATCTTGGATCACTCTTTGATGAAGTCGCTGATGAAATTAAGGTGGAATTAAGTAACTTGAAAGGTGTGATCTCGATGCTAAGCTAAAGCATGAGTACTTCTCAAGATGTTAAATATGTTGGAAATGCTAAGTGCTTATTTCACCACATTATTCATCAGGGATTAGTCATTAAGAGACACTTTCTGATCCTTTTGTTAGCATTTTAGTTGGAAATGTGACATTTTTTTTAATGTTGAATTCCAAGACATGTCAATGACTAGTTCTTGTCAAGCTTGGTGTCACAACCACCAAATTATTAAATAGCATTTTGATTGTTCATGATGAGATTTATATCTTATCAAGCTTAATTTTTCCATTATTTGAAATGTCACTTAAAAGATGATTGAACGGCACATCAAATATTATTTGAGCGACGCCTCAAGCATTATTAGCAACTTGGCTATTAAAATATTGTGAGGTGTTTCGAATAACTGTTGGCCTTCAAATTGCTTATGCGCTTAGGCAATATCTTCTATCATTTCTCAAAGAATTCAATGTATCTCTCTAAAGCTCACTCCTAAGCACAAGTCTTTCTTGAATGTGCTGACAACATTGTAGCTTCCAACAACCTTTCACTAATTTCACAATACAATTTGAAGTCCATTGTTCAAAACTTCAAAATTGGCGAGGACTTCATTGTTAGAGTCCCAAATCTTGGCAAATCTTCCAAAAAATGAAGGAGGATGATGAGTTATGCTTTTACAGATATCATTTTCACTTGGGTCTATGTTTTCCATTCTTTCTTAATGTAGAGTTAATTGTTAGTTAAGTTGGTTTAATTCCTATTCAAATTGTGCCCAACTAGATGGATAGCATGGTCGCTTTTATTATTTATCAACGAGAATAGAGATTCAAATGGAGATTGAATCTCCTCCACCAAATGTATACTATGAAATGAGATAAAGATGTATTAGTTTTCTTTGCCTCAAAATATGGTAAAATAAAAAGATTATGAAATAAAAAGCTAAGCTACTTTTTCTATAATTTTGTGCACCACATTAGTATGCATGAACTACTTTTTTTATTTTTATATAAGCCATATAAATATGGACATCATTAATGCCTAAGAATAAAAAATTGAGGTTTTGTGTGAAATTTTATTTGAAATGTATAACTCCTATCTTTTCTTTAGCATCTAGCATCTTGTGATATTATTTCTCAATGTCTAGGTGTTTATACTTTATACTATTTATCATTTGATTATAATAATGTAACTATTAAGGGAGCTTTTCATGATATTAATAATGATCATCTTTCTATTATTAATCTATTAACCTCTATATTGTTGCACCATATTTAAAAAACAAATAACTTATAATATTTGTGGGATATGTTGACCTTTTTATAAATTTCGTGGATGATAATATTAGTAACAACGCTGAAGTTATTAATGCTCATAAATTTGAGATCTCCTCACTCATTTATTATATCTGAAAAGAAAGAAATGAAAGGATTTTCAATATTTCCTATCATTCATTCGTTACTCTTTATCATCAAATCACAAGGGTTATCTTCCTAAAATTAAAAGGTTGAGGAAACTATAATGACATCAAGCTTTTTATTGGCTAGTCATGATGTTTCTATCAAAACTTTTATGGTAAATACATGATTATTTTGAGGTTTCTATTTTGAGGATTGTGATGAAGAATTATTCCCTTGTTATTCCCAACCTACCCTAGATTGCCACTGCTTTGTCTTGGCAACTGTGGTGGTCTCAAATCTCTTATTAACTCTGCTTCCTTTTACATCAATTGAAAATTTATGTTGCCATTGCTTTGTCTTGGCAACTGTGGTGGTCTGACATCTCTTTTTTTTTTTTTGGGGGGGGGGGGGACATTTAGGCCTTTTAAGGCAAATTCACACACACAACGCATACACAAAGACTCGAACCCAAGACATATTAGTTGGAAGCATAAGCTCTCAACCAACAAGTCAAGGTGAGCTGTGTGACATCTCTTATTAACTCTACTTCCTTTTACATCAGTTGAAAATTTATGGCTTTGACTGCACCTCTGGATGACATTGCTTTACTCTGGCAATCAGGTTTTGCAAACTGCTATGGGCTATTGTTGATTATTCAGGAATCAATTAAACCTACTTGAGTTCTATATTTAGTCATCTTTCATTTTATTTTGTTGTTTAATTTTAGAGCTATTATTTGGCTTTTTAGTGCTTTAGTTTTTTTTATTTGAACTTTTTCATATTTTTGGGAAGAATTTGGACCTTATATTTTTTTCCCCCTTCAAAATTAACGTTTTTCTAGTATAAGGGACAATTATAGGGAAAATTATTAGGTCCGGGCACCAGACGTAGAGATAGGTCCGAAAGTCAATAAAATGTCGACAAGTGGATATTCAATATGTTTAATGTGTCCATGAAACTTTAAGCCAAGCGCACCAAAAGTGAAACTAAAGCGTGCGGTAAAAAGTGCACTTAAAGCGTAACTAAAATGCAATTAAAGCGCAGGTAAAGAGCAACTAAAGTGCAAGTAAAACACAATTAAAATGCACTACATGTATCAAAATTTTAATAGATATTCGGACCTATTTCTAGGTCCGGTGTCCGACCTAATAATTTTCCCAATTATAGGCTCACTACCAACTCTCTTTGTCCTTGGTTTCTTCGCCGAGTCTTATCGTGAGGGGAAATTACTCGGTACTGTGAAGTACAGAACTCGATACTAATCAGTATCGTGTTCAATACCAAATAGAAAATAATGTAGCAAATTTTCATTGACTCTGGACGTCATCCTTTGAACGGACCCAATAATTTCCCCGCCGTGAGGTGCTGCTTGGTGGAAGCAACCACAACGATAAGGGAGGGAGCTACCCTCAAATGGCGGCTATAGTCCACATACTGAAGTCCCCGCCCCGTAACTCCCAAAAAAATCGGCCCCTAAGAGCTCTACTCCCTAAAGAAGGAGGTACGAATTCACGCCTTTCTTCAGGTCATAACCTTTTCGCCCTCAAGTATTTCTATTCTCAACTTTCAATGGTGATTTTCTCTTTCGTTTTCTCCCACCACGCGTAAGCCCATCCCCTCCAAAATGCAATATTTTTGCTGCTTCTCTCCGAAAGGTGCTATCTTGGCTGCGCCCAATCTAGATTCGGATCTAGGTCACCCTCATATTTTTGGGAGGAGGAAGAAGAGATCTGGCCTTGGCGATTCTTTTGGAAATTTTCATAGTGCAAGGATTCAAATCCAAATTTTGAAAAGAGGGTTGGTCTCTAATCACTGCAAGCTGAGATACTATGGTCCAAAGAAGAATTCTTTCTACAGGCCTTCGGCGCTATCTCTAGCTTCATTTCATGATCCTCAAGGGAGTGAAAATAAGAACGAAGATGAAGAAATTGATTACATTGTTGATCCTCCTGAAAGCAAAGAAGAGAATTTCCAGCGAGACAGGGTTGTATTTGTTGAGAAGGAAAGGGTGGATGTGCGAGCACTAGCTGGGAAATTATGTGATGTAAAAACTGCTGTTGATGTTGATGAAGTGTTAAAGGATTATAAGACTCTGCCTCTACCTGTCTATTCTTCTATTATTAGAGGTTTTGGTTTAGATAAAAGAGTGGATCCTGCTTTTGCTGTTTTTGAGTGGCTCAAGATGAAAGGAAAAGATTCTGGTGGCATCATAAGCCCGAATTTGTTCATCTATAATAGCCTTTTAGGTGCACTGAAACAGGTTGCACAGTTTGAGAAGATTGATGAGGTAATGGAAGAGATGAAGTCACAAGGGATTGTTCCTAATATCGTAACTTACAATACTTTGATGTCAGCTTATATAGATCAAGGGCAGCCTCAGAAGGCCCTTGATGTTCTAGACGAGATTGGGAGAAATGGAATATCACCATCTCCTGCAACTTACTCTTCTGTTTTGCTCATCTGCAGAAAGATGGATGATGCAATTGGTGCTATTGGATACTTCGTCAAATTTAGAGAAGAATATGGAAAAGTTTATATGGTGAAGGATCCAAATAATGACTGGAAAACCGAATTTACTAAGCTCGAGAACTTTGCAATTCGCATATGCTATCTGGTTATGCGTCATCATCTTGTAAATGAAGAGAATGCAGCCACCAATGTCTTCAAGATTCTGAGTGAGATGGACAAGGCGCGGTTAAGGCCGGGAAGAGTAGAATGCGAGCGACTTATCTGGGCCTGCACACAGGAAAGACACTACAATGTGGCCAGAGAATTGTATCAAAGGATAAGAGAGATGGAGAGTGAAATAAGTTTATCTGTATGCAATCATGTAATCTGGCTGATGGGTAAAGCTAAGAAATGGTGGGCAGCTCTTGAAATCTATGAGGATTTGCTAGATAAGGGTCCTGAACCCAATAATCTATCATATGAACTGATCATGTCGCACTTCAACATATTACTCAGTGCTGCTAAAAAGAAAGGGATATGGAGATGGGGTGTCAGGTTGATCAACAAAATGCTTGATAAAGGTTTGAGGCCTGGAATTAAAGAATGGAACGCAGTTCTTGTTGCTTGCTCCAAAGCATCAGAAGCTTCTGCTGCTGTGCAGATTTTTAGGAGGATGGTGGAGCAAGGTGAAAGACCCACTGTACTCTCTTATGGTGCTTTACTAAGTGCAATGGAGAAGGCAAAGCTATATGATGAGGCACTTCGTGTATGGGAGCATATGTGTAAGGTGGGTGTGAAGCCTAACTTGCATGCTTACACAATTTTGGTTTCAGTCTACATTGGGAATGGAATGCCAGAGATGGTGGATTCCGCCATTAAAGAGATGAGACTATCAAAGCTTGAACCAAACATTATTACTTTCAATGCTATTATTACAGGATGTGCTAGGAACAGGTTGAGTGGAGCTGCTTTTGAGTGGTTCCATCGGATGAAAGTTCAGAACATCAAACCAAACGAGATTACTTATGAGATGTTGATAGAATCTCTTTCAAAAGATGGAAAACCAAGACTTGCATATGAAATGTATTTGAGGGCGATAAATGAGGGCTTGCATCTTTCATCAAAGGCTTATGATGCTGTGTTAGAATCATCTCAGGCTTTTGGTACAAACATGGACATGAATGCCTTAGGAGATCGGCCTCAAGAGAAGAAGAGAATAGTCAGAATTCGGAAAGATCTTTCAGAACTCTGTGACCTTGAAGATCTCGATAGGAGTAAACCATTTGATAGGACAGAAATTTGTAGTTCAGACATACAAGAAATATAATGTATGAAGGACTTTTTCCCCTTTTCTGCTGGTCAATTTCCTAAACCATATGAATATTGAATACTAGTAGAGATTTCCTGGTTAATCTTGATTTTTTCCAGGATATGCATGTCTTATTCATGTCAAAGTTTAAGATTGATGTTCATTCTCGTTTGCCTGATGGTACTTAGGATACTGAGTTTGAAAAAGTCATCTTTTAGCTTATTTTGACAGCAGAAGATAAGTGCTTTTCACAAAGCCCTTTATGAATTTTTGTCAGTATGAAAACAGCCCTCTCATCGCTCTTTAGATGGCTTTTATCCAGCCTACATGGACTTCTGCTCCAACCAACCCGTTAGCCTAAACTTCCACTCTAGCTGGGTCTCAGCTCCAGTTGAGCTCCAGCCAGCCTTCTCTCCTTCCCCATTCTTTCCACTGCCACCTCTTAGATCCATGGAATCCTTACTGTCATCTCACAAGTCCATGTGGATTGTCTTGTGGTTAATGATAAGGAACGGAATTGGGCGGGTTGCTTGATGGAAGGAAACGTTTTACTGGCTGGAAGATGAACGGGAAATCAAGCGGCTAGACGGTTTATGTGTAAAAATGCTTAGCCTTCTTGAATCTCAGAGATAGAAGGAGGAGAGAAGAAGACAAGAAGACGAGCAGGAATAAGTATTTGATTTTTACTTAACCATTACAGATTGGTTTACATGTATATAAAGGAAAATAACACAAGTGATACATTGGCTACAGGAACGGTAATACATAAATGTTTTATTCCTGTTGCTCTGAGATTATGCAGCAGTCGAAAGGGCCGAAGAGAGGGTTGGAGTCGTAAGAGAGAAGAATGGCCATGGGGAAGCATTGCAAGGGTCGATTGTAGAGATGGTTGTGCTATTCGGTCCAAACTGTCAAGGATACTGGGTTTGTAGCATGTGAGGGCCGCGACAATGGAGATAATTGGAAGAGTCTTGATGTATAGTTTTGCTTCCGCCTCTGTCCCATCTCTTTCTCGTGCACTCTCTCTAACTCTCACGCATTTGATTCCCTAAGCCACAATTCAACACTCAGGGGGGCTGTTTGGTAGCAGGATCTAGCCCGGATTTGAGGGGAATTTGAGCGAAATCCAGCTAAACGGCCTAAAATGCAAAACCAAATCTCACGACAAATGAAAGCCGCCATAGACGGAAAATTCTGTCTTTTCGTGCTAAATTCCGGATTTTTGAAATCCTGTTTTTTGCCTGATTTATGAAATCCGTTGGCTCAAGAGGAAGAGTCCGCTCGTTAAATCCATTCTATAGCCAAACAATCACACAAGATTCAATTGGATTTATCATGAATATTACCAAACAGTTTTCAAGATTTAGGTCCCTCAGGATTTCTGAAATCCCGATTTACGAAATTTTCGTTCTAATTAAATCAAATCCTGGGTGCTACCAAACAACCCCTTAAAGGCACGATCTTTCCTTAAAGGATGGCGGCACGACGCAATCGGTTTGGTTCACCCTCCCATATTTGGGGGTTATCACAAGTAGGTCTAGATCTTACTTCACTAATTTCAGCCCCATGAAAGAAAATTGCCCAACTCTCACAGTGACATAAGCTGTAATTTTATAGAAATCCAAGTGCATTTATTCAGTTTGAGAAAACAAGACAATTTTCAGACAAAAACTATGTTTTATATGTTGTTTTTATAGTTTTGTTAGTATTAGTCATGGAATTACTTAGTCTTTTTTAAGCTTTTTTTTTAGTTCTTCTGTTGATTCAGATATGCTTCAACTCCTTCCCTTCTTTGTTTACTGCATGATCACATCTGTTGTCTTATTTAGCTCTGAATTACTTCACATCAATGTCACATTTTTCCTGCAAAACTCTCAATTAATTATTATGTGCGGACATCGGACGGAGAGAACCGTCTAGATTTGTTGTACTTTTACTGTACTTTTGTTACGCTTTAGCAAAAAATAAAAATAAAAGAGCAGCAAATATTTAATATTTATTAAATAATTGAATATTTGCTGTGTTTTTACTGATTATTTGCAAAATCATAGCAAAAGGACAGTAGAAACTTGTTCAAAAGCACAACAAATTTGGACGGATCTCTCCGTTCGGTATCCACACAGAATATTTTCTCCTATTGTTAAGCCTATTCTTCTGCAATTTCTTCTATATAATCTTCAAGTTTAAGAAAAATAGAACTGAACAAATCACCCAGATCATATTTACTTGTTCTTAATTCAGCTTAGATTGAAGCAAAATGTATTGAGATAATTCTTCAAAGTTTGCTGTGTTATATTGGTTAAACATTTGATGTTCCTATGATGAATTTCTCAACGCTACAGAGAGACCCTCCATTGGTATAGGTGAGGGAAGAAATTAAGGTGAATGAAATATATTTAATTAGCAATATTTTATCTGATTATGGATCTATCACCTTTAATTAATTTAAATTTTCAATTACTTTTTCCCATTGAGATCCTTACAAATCCAAATGGAGCTTTAGAGTCTATTTTGGATGGTAAAAAATTGAGCTGTTGGTGCGATGATTCAATTTGATTAATTTTTGAAATGTAATATAAGTTCTTAAGAATCATAATTTCAATTTTTTTTTCTGCAAATAGTTGAAATATATTTAATGTTAGAAGAAATTTATAAGCTCCAAACACAAGATTCAAGACTAACTATATAATAATTAATAATAATTTGATAATATAAAAATAAGGAATTACAAAAATTGATGATATAATATAGCAAAATTATTTAAAAATATTATATGTTAATTGTTTTTTAAACAATTAATTTAGGGTGATGTTGATGTGTTTGAAAGTATTTTTTTAAAAGTTGTTATGAATATTATAAATATGATTTTTTTAAATATCAAATAACTGATTTCTTAAACAAATTACTTATCAGTAGCTTGCATTGTAAAAGTAACTTCCCATGACCAAAATTTTTAATAAGTAGTAAAAAAAACAACAAGAAAGTAAAATCAAAATACCGAGAAAGTTATAAGAAAGTTATACCTAACGAAGCCTTAGAGTATGACTTTGTTTGGGAGGACTTTCTTACTGCTTCTTAAAATAGCTTTTTAGTACAAAAATTAAAATTTTGTACTAAAAAACTACTTTAAAATGCAGTAAGAAAGTTGTCCCTAACAAAACCTATATCAAAATTATGATAATTCATTTTAATTCAAAAAAAAAAAAAAAAACACATCATGGATTTAATATCTACAAATGTTTAATAGGTTCTCATTTAGGATTGTTGTAACGTTTTCTAAAGATGATTGTGATGTTGTTTGGTTGAAAGAATTTTTTTAAAAGTTGTTATGAAAATTATAAATATTTTTTTTTTTAAATATCAAATAACTGATTTCTTAAACATATTACTTATCAGTAGCTTGCATTGTAAAAGTAACTTCCCATGACCAAATTTTTTAATAAGTAGTAAAAAAAAACAACAAGAAAGTAAAATCAAAATACCGAGAAAGTTATCCTCAACAGACCCTTAACTAAAATATTAATCGTCCAATTGAGATGTGAATAAACAAATCCGAGACTCTTTTATTGATAGTCAAAACTCTTCATCAATAGGTCAAGACGAGTTACGGAGCCACACAACACCAATAAATCCACTATGAAAATTGGGAGAAATAAGTATAGATATCTCTTATCTCTTGCTCTGTCCTTGCTTCTCTTCTCTCTTGCACATTATCACACTCTAAACAAAAGAAAAAGCAATTAAAATAATATCAAAGGATACCACCCTTATGAAAAAACGAGAAAGAAAACTATCATGTCCGTCTTGAAGCGTTGCGATGCTTGAGCCTTTATCATCGGTCCATCTGACGATGCTGCAGTGCTCAAACCTATAATGTTGCAGTACTATAAAACATTGCAGCATCGACTCTAGAGCGTTGCAGTGCTTTACTCTTTGTCGTTTCTCCCGGCAAACTTTGCAGCATCGAGGCGCTCAGGAACAAAGCACCAGGTCGCTCGGGTACACAACACTGGTTCACTTGGATACACAGCATCGGAGCACTTGAACCAAAACAGAGGGTAAACCACCCGCACGAGAAATTGAATTCATGTCCAAGGCAACAGTAAAACCCGATTGATTAACGCAATCAGATTCCACACAGATTAATAATTTCAAGTTGGATGGCTGAAGTGGAGGAATAAATCGAACTTGTCGTGTGATAGAAAAGCCCCCCGTCAAACTTAAGGGAAAAGACTATAAGTTGGTGGTGAGACCTGTAATGCTTTATGGTGCATAATGTTGGCCATTAAAATAGAAACATAATATTAAGTTAAGTGTTTCAGATATGAGGATACTCAGGTGAACTAGTGTCATTACTATTAGAGATATGATATGAAACGAGCATATACGCTAAAGGGTTGAAGTAGCTCCACTGGAAGAATAGATTAGAGAGAGCCACCTTAAAATATTAGAAATAACATTTCTTTATTAGATTTAAAAGAGAATTTGACTCTTAATAGAGCACAATGAAAAAAATGATTCATATAGCCGTCCCCACAAAGTGGGATAAAGGCTCGATGCTGTTATTATTGTATGCTTATTGTGAGTGCATTTTATTGTATAAATATTATAATCTAATGTATTTGTTGTATCAACTTTACAAGTTGTATTATAAGTGTTGTGATTGCCTTTATCATATGACACTTATAAATTGTTGTGATATAAAAGTTGTGATTGTATTCTATTGTAATTTGTTGTGATTATATCACTGCTCTAACTTGTTGACCTTTATTTGAATATATTTGATGCTTACTCAAACAATGAACTATTTTCAAATCTTTTTTAATCTTATTTGAATAACTTCTTGTTAATCTAATCTTTTTTTTTTTTACATCATCCGAACCATAAATCTTATTTGAATCTCATTCGCATATCTGAGAGTTCTAATCTAATTTTAAATTTAATTACAATGAATTTTTTCAAATGAAATTTTTAAGAAAAAAATCTCATTTTTTTTAATTACTTGTGTTTACAAAGTCAAAAATCGCAACTTTAATATAACAACACCACGAACATTGATTTCTTCTCCGCGTGTGCGAGAAAAAGAAAACCTTGATTATTTTACTAGATAAAGCTGGAAGAAAACAACTTGAAGAAGCAGAGGCAGAGCAACCAAGCTCCTTGAAAATGTCAGCAGCTGTGATAACAAGTAAAGCAAAACAACTAGCCTTACTTACATTAGTTCTTCCTTCTCTTCCCACCCCAGTTCCCTTCCCTTTTACTCCCCTTCTTCGCTGTTCTTTTTCTGTCTCAGCTTCGCCAATCCAATCAAAATTCCTTCTTTTCACATGAATTCAAACGTCCGGCCATGGCTTCCTCCCTCTCTCCTCCTCCTACTCCTCTTCTGTTCACTCTTCCCCCTTTCCTTCTCGTCTCCCATCCTCCGCCATCTCCTTCAATCCGATCCTCCTGCCAACGCCACCTCGCATCCGGCCAAGAAATCCGACGCCGGCAAAATCGCCGCCGCTGTGCTCATCACTGCCGCCGTCAGCTTCTCCCTATCTGCCCTTCTCTTCTTCTCCATCCACCGTTTCTTCACCAAGCGCCGCAAGTCGGAACCTCAGATGTACCTCACCAACCCCATGCCCCCTTTCCACCGCTCCAAGTTCGACCGAAATCTCAGGAGCGTCGCCGTCGATGACAGCGCCCTTGACGTCTTTTACTGGAGGAGCATCAACGAACCCGTTCCCAAGCGATGCTATCAATGCAATAGCTTACTTAAACGATCTTCCGATGAGGAGGACGATCTTCCTCCGGCAGAGAAGAACCGGAGGCGCCTGCGGAAGGACGACCGAGGTAGCCAAGAGATTCCCTTGCTTCCCTCCGAAATAGCGCTAGACAGCGTCAAGGGCGTGGGAGAGCCGCCGCCGCCGCAGCCTCCGCCTCCTCCTCCCCCTCCGCCACCGACCGTAAAACCTCCACCACCACCACCGCCGGCTCTTCCGTCGAGAAAGGGGCCTGCTCCGCCGCCACCCCCTGCTGCTAGAAAGGGTGGAGGGCCGCCGGTTCCTGCGGGATTTTCTAGGCCGCCGCCGGTGCCAGAAGGAGTTAAGGATAGACCGAGGTTTAAGCCGCTGCACTGGGACAAGGTGACGCCGGCGAATGCCGGCCATTCGATGGTGTGGGACAAATTTACCGACGGGTCAACCGGGTATGTTACCGGTTCCACTCTTGGCCTTTCGAAACGGCTGTGATTTGTTTTCATGAGTTATGTGAAAATTATATTTAAAATGGAAAGGTTTTTTTAATTTCTTTTTAAAACGATTTTTATTACAAATTTTTAATTTTTTACTAGAAAATCACTTTAAGAATTACAAATAAAGCTATCCTAATTCCTAAATGAAGCCTATTATTTTGCTTTTCATATTTCAATTGTAATTTTTATTGGATTATTATTTTTTAACTATTTTTAATAATTTTTGTGTTAGGAAGTTAATTTTCACAATAGCTTAAAAAAAATTTTATCCGCAACAATTTTATAATCATCTTTATAAAAAAATTGCTATTGTACCAAATGAACAATAATGTTTCTTTTGTGATAGCTTTTTACTGCTTTATTTTTCAGATCACAAATATAATTTTTGTTTTGCCATTTTTTTTTCGTTGCTTGAAAAAAAATTATACTAAAAGCTGCTTTCTATAATAACTTTAATAAATTATTTTCTCTATATCAAAATTTCAAAATAATACGAAAACTATCCCAAATAAAACCTAACTAAATAATTTATTATTAAATTTTAATCAATCCAATTCAATTTTGTGAGCACATAATAATAATTTTTTAAAAAACCAATTTTGCAAGGACATAAAATATCAATGGTTTTAAACAAATCCTTTTGATAGAAGAGTAAATTATTGATAATTTTTTATAAATTATTTAAAATTAAAATAATATAAAATTTAAATAATTATTCATATTTTATATTCTTCTCATTAACTTTTATCAGATATTATGTAGCCCATATTATTTTGTTATTTGAGAGCTTAGATTATTATTTTAGAGATTATAATTTCATTTTCGAAATTTGTGTATACAATATGTGTCTAAGTTTTTGTTAATATTTAATATATATATTATATACTTTATCAGATATATTATACAATTTTTTTTATTTTAATTTTTTTTTTTTTTAAGCGGGAAGTTGCATTCAGATTCTCACAACACTGTTCTGACTCGCCACCAGGTTCGACGACGATCTGTTAGAATCCCTGTTCGGCTACGTCCCCAGCAACCGCCCCCGCCAGCCCTCCGCCGCCTCCGTCCTGATCCCCAACCCGAGTCCCGCACAAATCCGCCTGCTCGACCCCCGCAAATCGCAGAACACCGCCATCATCCTCCGCACCCTCGCCGTCAGCCGCCAAGACATATTGGACGCCCTACTCGACGGTAACGGCCTTGACCTCGACACGCTCGAAAAGCTCTCCCGCATACCCCTCACAGCCGAAGAACAATCCCTCATCCTCTCTTTCTCCGGCGACCCTTCTCACCTCGCAGATGCCGAGTCTTTCCTCTTCCACATCCTCAAATCTGTACCCTCTGCGTTCCCACGAGTCTCCGCTCTCCACTTCCGCTCCTCCGTATATGAACCCGAAATACTTCTCCTCAAGGAATCTCTCAAAACGCTAGATCTCGCCTGCAAGGAGCTCCGCACCCGCCCGCTTTTCATTAAGCTGCTTGAAGCCATTCTTAAAGCTGGGAATCGGATGAACGCAGGCACAGCTAGGGGAAACGCGCAGGCGTTTGATCTCATCGCCCTCCGTAAGATCTCCGATGTCAAGAGCACCGACGGGAAGACCAATTTGCTCCATTTCGTGGTTGAGGAGGTTGTCCGCTCGGAAGGCAAGCGTTGCGCCGCCATGAATCGGAGCCAGAGCATCCGGCGACCGGCGGAGCAGGAATCTTATCGGCAGGATAGGGAGGAAAGGGAGAAGGAGTACATTGTGCTGGGATTGCCGATCATTGCTGGGCTCAGCACCGAGTTCGCCAATGTAAAGAAAGCGGCGGCGATCGATCAAGATGCGCTCGCGGGTGGCCCAGCTTCGCTTGAGGTGCGGTTGGCAGAGATCCAGAAGCTTGTTGGGAGCTGGAAGGGGGAGGAAGGAGGGTTTGTGATAGAAATGATTGAGTTCGTTGAAGCTGCGGCTAGAGAGATAGAAAAAGTGAAGGAAGAGCACGGGATGGTGATGGAAAAAGTGAGGAGGACGACGGAGTATTATCAGCCGGGAGCTTCCAAGGACAAAGCCACGCAACCGCTTCAGCTGTTTGTCATAGTGAGGGATTTCTTGGCAATGGTGGATCAGGCCTGCGTTGATATTACCAAGAATCTTCAGAAGAAGCCGCCGACAGCGAAACCGGCGGAGAAAGGAGGGTCAAATCCGGCGGCGAAAATGACTGAGGCCTCGTCGGTGAGGGAGGAGAGGATAACTACCAGGTTTCCGAATTTGCCGGCTCGATTCATGTCGGATATGTCTGTATCGTCTTCTGATTCAGAGGATGAAGATGAGTTCTAAGATGCAGCAAAGGTATTTGTTAAAATGTTTTAACTGATTGCTTCTTCAAAAATATTTGGCAACTATTTTTTTTTTTCTGATTTTATATTTTGAGTGCATATTAAATGTAAAAAAAAAACCTTTTAATTTCATGGGACATCACTTAAAATAATTAAATTAATAAAAAAATGTCTAAATTATTAGAGAATATCGCTAAATTATTATACATTCATAAATATAATAATTATTAAAAATATTATGAATGTCTAATAATTTAATTTATTTTCTAATAATTTAATTATAGTTTTTAATAATTTAATTGTACATATATTTGATGTATAATATGTGAAAGCTAGCAATCTGGAATTTTGGTTGGTTCTTTAAAGTTTAAATGCAACATATTTGTTTCTTTTTTATGTTTTGAATGCGCTTATTGATAAAAAATTAATAGAATAAGAATTTGATCAATTGGTCATTTTTCGCTTGTAAGTACCTTATTCGATGACTTATTTGAGCTTCTTACATCAATTGGCCATTTTGATTTATTTTAATTAGATAAATTTTTATAAATTTTTTTTGAATTCAAATGCAAAGTAAATTGAATGATATTAATTTTTTTAATAACCATAGATTAATTTATTAATTTTATGAAATTACATGTGTAAATTTGTAATGATTTACAATCATTTACGTAGGATCTGTTTGGATCAGTTTTCTCATTCTCAGACGACAACTACATTTATGTTTGACTACTGCTTTCTTTCTTGTTATTTTTTAGAAGTTTTAGTGTCCGAAAGTTAATTTTTACAATCAGTGTTGTTAATATTTGGTAGCTTTCCGAAATCAAATGTTTGATTTTTTAAAAAGAAGATATTTAAAGACTGATTTAGACAACTTTTTTACTACTTTGCTGTTGAATTGAAGAATTTTTTGTTATATGAAATTATTTTTTACGATAGCTATAAAATTTTTACTTTTTTCACAACAACTTTGTAATCACGTTTACAAAAATTGTTTTTCTCACAATAGCTTCACAATCATCTTTATAAAATGCTACAACCATCTGAAATAGATCGGCAATCTTTTTTATTCAAATCTCCAATTAGTCAAACACGTAATTTAGTAAAAAATTTAGAATGACATAGCATTACATTTTGTTTTTCTTTCTGTTTTCTATCGATACTATAAGTTTCCGAATACAATGGAATAATTTGGATTTTATTGCTATTATCTTACTCTCATTTTAGTTTTATATAATTAAATTTTGTATTCTAATAAACAAATCATCCAAAAGGAACGTAAAATCAGAGCTGGCCGGCAGCCACATTCTTTTGCCATTTGGAGATACCGATTTGCAAGCCATGGTTTGGATGTTTGATAGAAGAATTTATGATGAAATGGTCCAATGCTAGGAGTAATTATTGTGTCCGGGTACCGGACGTGTCCAGGAACTTTTATTTGGTCCGGTGATCGGACCTAGAGCTACGTTTGACGAGCGCTGAGAACGCGCCACGTAGCAGGCACAAAACCGCGGACCTGACCCGGCGAATAGTGGGTATGCCGCACGTGCGTTTTTTAAATCCATGACAACCCGGTATTGCTAGGTATTGCACGGTATTGTTAGGTATTTGTCGATTTTGCTCGTCAATAACGAGAAATATCATTATGTCAAGACAAATACCGAGTAATACCGAGCAATACCGAGTTTTTCTAGAAAATCTCGGTATTGCTCGGTATTACTCGGTATTGCTCGGTATTGGTCTTCACAGAGCGGTATTTCTCGTTATTGCCAAGCAATACCTAGCAATACCGAGCAAATACTGAGTAATACCTAGCAATACGCGAACATAGCATTCCCGGGTTTCGGTCTGGGTCAAGTCGTCGGGCCGCGCGGTAAAGAGTAAGAGCACGTGGCGCGATCTCAGTGGTGACCGAACATAGAGCTACGTCTGGTGATCACCACATCACAAGGCGCTTGGTATCGACAACAATACCGCTCGGTATCGACAATAGTACCGGCGAACACAATAATTTTTCCAATGCCATAGGGGAAAATTTTGTTCAGATTTGAGTCGTAGACAGATGTAGAAATAAGGACATAAATAGGACATGTTTATAGAGTTATGTATAAATTTCATGCAAACATGAAAGTCAAGGCCCATGAGAGCTTAGAGTGAGCATGCAGAGAAGAGGAGGGGATTCAAGAAATTTAAGAAAAGTGCTAAGAAAATCTAAAAGAAATGCTCCACTAGATCAACAAAGGTTCAAAAGATTCAAAATGTGCTTATTCGCTCTTTTGTTATAAGGATCTGAGGGGCTATATGAAAGGTTACACCAAAAAGATTTAAAAATGCAATAATACACGTGATATAGTATGGATTGGTCATGATAAGTGTCATGATTTGATGGTGGTTTGTGTGATTCTTCTTCTTTTTCTAGCTTTTGATTTGGGGCAAGCTCCCTTCGTTGAGTGTTTGTGGGTGAGTCGAGGAAGACGACTCGGGATAGATCTGTTGGACAAATCTATGGTGGAAAGTGCTCTGGTTGTGTTGGCAACCTCCTATGGACGGTTCTCGAGCCTTTTGAATGTGATGGGCGAGTTTACTCAAGTTTTGGTGACTGCAAGCTCAAGATTGGCCGAGTCTTAGGGAGCTTATTTGCATCTTTCTAGGGCCAGCCTTTCTTGTGAGTGGATCGAAGAGTATAATTAATGGCTTATTGGCTCGAACACTGAAGAATTTATCAGGGAAGGGGAGGATGATTTCTATCGAGGAGGCAAATCCCCGAAAGCTTGGAGGGATTTGCGCAAATCCTTGAAATTTTTATTGAGGGTGAACTTCTCTAATTGCTCGGCAGAGTTGAGTCATGGCCTTTTGCTGGCAAGTACTTTTGAGAGAGGAGGTGATCACTTTTGGTTGAGTCTTCTTTGCTAGGGTCTGTCAAATCTGAATTCTTTTTGTTAGAGACTGTTAAATATTTGTGGGATACTTCAGAAGACATATACATGTATATATAATATGACTCAATTTAAGAAAGTTTATTATGATTTTAACTTTCTCTAGCAAATGTGATCTCTCTTTAGAATTTCAGTCAAAAGCCGTCAACAATGTCCATCTTAAAAGATTTAGACAAAATTTTATTGAAAATTAAGTCATCAATTTTTTTTTACTGAAGTTCTTCCTTTCTGTGAGGATATCAGACACAGCTTATCATTTAGAGGCCAATCAGGTGCAGCCACGTCATCCAGTATCAGTTGCGGTACCGAATAGGGGTGACGTGGCACACGGCGTTCAGTGTCTGCACCTAATAATTTCACTCCTTTTTCAGTCCCCAATAGAATTTTATGTATGTTGTAATTTGAGCTTTAATTGATTAATAATTACCTCAAAATTTTAATGATCTTTTGATCAAAATTTTAACAAATTGTGCCTTTTTATTCCTAAGACGCGCCATTTTCTCCATATACTCTTCTGACTATTGCATAAATCGTATGACAAAATTTTTAGAAGTAATTTATTATGACCTCTCATTTTATATTAAGATCTACAATCAACTATCCATCATTGACAAATACTTATCAAGAAAAACTCAAATCTCACTGAAAATGTTCAGTTCATAGTAAGAATTTTTAAAAAAAATTGTCCTCCGCCTGATTCTCAGTTCGCAGTAGCATCGGCTGATTCTCCTCCTAATAGCAATTGATCTCGTCGAGCTGTTTGGGAGCTCTATAGATCACGTAGAAGCCGCTGATTATGTTCTCTTGCTGTCTTTCGATGATTGATCTTCTGCCAATTACTTACAAGTATTGTTTTGTGTTAGATAATTTATGAAGGTAGAGTGATACTATGTTTAATATTTTAGTTTTGTATTAATATTCAGTATGCACATAGAATTGTAAGATATTTCATAAAATTTTATTTGAAAAATCCAACAAGGAAAAACTATAGTGGTTGGTTCAGTTGCAATAGTCCATTATATAATTAAGAATATAAAAATCCACTCTTCTTCGCAATTGAAGAAGACGAGATTTTACATCTGAGAATAATTGTCTTATTTATATTGTGATAATTATAGAAAAAGTGATGGAAGGCAAAATATATTATATAACGTTCAGTACAATGATTTTGGTCCAATTTTAGGGTAGTGTTATTCCGTGAGACATAACACCATTGTAAAATCTATATATAGAGGTTATATGTAATGTATTAGATGGGGAAAATGGAATAAGAGCTTGAGTTTTATTTTCCTCCATAGCTGAGCTCCCATCCTTGTCTCTCTCTCTCTCTCTCCCTCTCAATCCAAGAACAACTAGAACCCTCTTCCTCCCAAGAAGTCAACAAATTGGTATCAGAGCCTGGTGGAGGCGATCGCGAGGAAGGAGGAATTTTGTAATCTAGAAAGGGAAGAAGGGGACGGTCCGCAGGCATAGGAGCTGAACTTGCGCGAGCAGGTGGACTACGTGTGGTGCGAACGTGGGCCAGAGAAGGGTCACGCGGGAAGTCACAACACGCAGGGAACGGGTTGAGTTTTTCGAGGGATTGCGGGAGAGGGCTCAAGCTTGCAGTGGGAGGTGGTCATGCAGCTCAGGCGCATGAGAGAGCTGGTCGCGTGTGTAGGAAGGTTGCACAGACTTGTGTAATTGGGCTAGGAGAATGCACGGGTTGGCGTTGAACATGGACTGTTTTGAGCAAACTCGTGGGGCGCAACTGAGCAAGGGTGAGGTGGAGCGGGGGTGCGCTGCGCGGGCAGGGCAAGCACGGGGTGCTGGATCAAACCGCGTGCAAGAGGCTAGGGGACAATTCACGAGCTCGGTGTGCGTGGGCAGTAGATGGAGAGCGACCTTCTCACGCGCGCAGGGACTTGAGTCAGGGAGGGCCACCTTTCGGGCCTTTCGAACATCAGTGTTGTGATCAGGAGCAGATCAACCGGCAGGTAGCGCGAGATTGCTACACGCGGAAGAAGAGTTAGGTGAAGGTGAAGGAAGGTTTTTCCAAGAAAGAAAGAAGGGGTTTGGTAGGTGCGTGGGTCCAAATCAGGCCATATAGGTGATCAGCTTGGTAAACACGCGGTTGCACCTAGGCATGAAAGCATTCGTGCGAGCTGGTGTCGGGTGATGGATGCAGGAGTGCACACGCCGGAGATTGTGCGGGATTGGTGGAAGTCTTTGTTTCTTGGTTGTTCTTTTTGAACATATGTTTTCTTTGATTGTAAAATCTGGACCAATGCGGAGATTGTTAGGTTTTTGTCCATATTTGACTAATTTATTCCACGAGACATCACACCAATATAAAAATATATATATAACCTGAAGATGGAATGAGAGCTTGAGTTTTGTTTTCCTCAATCCAAGAACAACAAAAATCCTCTTCCTCGCAAGAACTCAATAGTGATGATAATTTACTAGAGGTTCGACACCCACAGTTGAATAATTGAAGTAAAATGAAGGTATATATTGTTAGATAATAAGGTGAAAATGAACGCAATTGCTGATGGTGACAGTCGATGATGTTCATCGGGAAATGCAATGTTCTTAAGATATTTTAGCTCTCAAACCACCATAATGTAAAAAATAAAATCCTATTTATAACTTTTTGAAAGGGAGTTTTTGATAAAGTTGACTAAAATGAAAAAAAAAAAACTCTATCAAACAACATATATTGATTCTCTTAATCATAAATCAATTATGCATCATTTGAGTGCCTGAATGATATTATAATCAAATGATTTTAGGCTCATTGAATTCATCTCATTGAGCTGCTTGATTTGGTTATAACATAAGATTTGAAAGTCATTTGATACTTAATTAATGTTCTTAAACTTCTAAATATGTTTCAAGTGTTTTGAATTCACATTAGATCACTTTGATGTCATTGTATTTGCAAGGCCTAGGTATACATCAAGGAAAAACCCCCACAAAGATCAAAGAATTTGTAAGGACTTAGATGGGCTCGAATCAATAGGATTCAGAAAGAGCATAAAATCCTACATCTGCTGAAAATACTGTACAAGTCAGAGTAAGAGTATCCGAGGACGCCTATAAGTGCCATCAAGGAGGTCTACACATCCATGGAGAGATAAAAAGTCAAAAGCGGCAGGCAAAATAATCGCAACGAAGCTCCAAATAGGTAGAGATAACAACCATGAACCATGCGAGCGGTACACAAGAAAGTCCATTACGGCAGAGGCAAAGAGGAGAAAATAAACCAGCCCATTAATAGAAGAACTTGAGAAGAATATCCTTACGATCTTGGCAATGTTTCAATTACTTCAGATTTGCACATTCTGATTGATATTGCAGAAATCAAGAGCAGAAAACAAGAAACGCTATCTTGAGCTCTCTTTCCCCCTTAATTAGGAGTAATTATTCTGTGCGGATGCTGAACGCCGTCCAGAGCCCAATGAAAATGTGCTACGTCATTCGGTACTCAGTACCAAGGCTCGGTACTGCTCGGTATTGGATGATGTGGTGCATTTTCAGGCGTCCGGACATAATAATTTTTCTTTAATTAGACCAGGACTTTATGTTTGGGAGATAATAATATCCTTGAGGATGGATAAAATCTCTATATTGTTTTAGTTGTAAACTAATTATAGAGATGAAGAGTAGAACGAAGTGCTAGACCACCTTTCTGTTTGGGAGTTTATTTTGGTTTAATCTTTTATTGTGAGAGCGCCAAATAATCTCTGGAGCCAAAGAACTCATACAGCCCAAGCACCAATATTGTGGCTTTCCTAGCCACAATATTGAAGTTCTATTAGGGATTTTTTTTGACTATTTTTATAGTAGCACAAGCAACCAAAATTTATGTCAATTTAAATAATAATTTTTGATAACTTTCTAAAAATTGTCTTAAATGAATTGTAATAGAAAAATACAAAGTGTTTCAAATGAAACTTCTGTAACAACTCAAAATATATGAAAACTTGTTTTTAAATGAGATATTTGAATTTATGTTTTAATTGGAGCGTTTTGGCGTTGAGATTGTGAGTGCTAAGGCGCTAGGTTTAAGAACACAGTAGCGCCAAAAATCCCTGTCATAACATTGAAGTCTTTATTCCATATTAAATCTAATTTTTATATGAACCGCAGCACGTTGGGTTAGTATATAAGCTCCTCCATCCTCCATTCAGCTATGGGTTAGTATATAAGCTCCTCCATCCTCCATTCAGCTATGAATTGCTCGAGAAGGAAAGGAAGAAGGGGGGAGAAGAAGAGAGAGGAAGTTCTCAAGGACTTTTTTATTTGACGATTTTGTAAAAAGTGTTCTGATCATTGTAAGTAACTATCCTCTTACCCCTATCTTTGAGAATTTTGATTTATGTGGATTTATCTCTTCTAAATCTGTCAAAAATGCATTATCTCCTAATTTCATAAGCTTTCACCTTATAATTTTTGATATATTATAGATTTGCTCACTCTAAACAATATGACATGATTTATTCCATTTTTATCAGTTAAATTTGTGTATTTGAATGTTTCTGTGAAAAGAGTAGGACAAATGTATACTAAAAAATGGATTGAAAGTGATGTATTATGATTTGATATGATAATATTGAAATGTAATATGTGCTGAAATGATTGGTAGGATTGATACGTACTAGAATGTGATATTGATCTGGCTCAAAGGATGTACTATATTGATACTACTCTTATAGAAATTAATAAACTAATTAATATCTGATATATATTATAGATAACCCCACTTGATAATCTCAAGAATCATTGATGGAAGTCATATGGAGCTGGAAACTGATTGAGAGTAAAAAAAAGTCGGATGACATATCCATATAATTCAAGGAGAGTTATGAGTAGACTTATTGGGAGTCATACGAGACGACTAATTGATATTCATAAGTGCGGGAACAAGATACTCTCATTTCAATATCTTATAGAATACAAATTACTGATTACTGATATTGATTATTGATGTTGATTTCTAACACTGATTACTAATATAGATACAAACTATTATTACTAATATTGTATGAACATTGATTTCTATTACTACTTATTGTTACTAAATATGGATAATGATACTACTATAGAACTGTATAATTGATAGGCTGACGAGAATAATTGAATGATAAAACTGAATGAAACTGATTGAATAATAAAGATAGACTAATTGATTGACATAGATGATTGATACATATAACATATATTAATGTATTGACTTCCTTGCATCCTAGAATTTATTGCATATTATTCCTATTTTACCTTGCATTAATTTAAATTGTAAGATTTTAATTATTTGCTAAGTTATTTGATCATTACGTGATTTTACATGATTTAAGGTAAACGTAAGGAGCCTGTGAATTGAGGCTTAGCTATAATGATATTTTAATTTTCTTTCGACTCTTTTAGTTTATGATATTCTTTTGTAGCATATGAAAACTATTGTAAATGTTGTTTCGGACTCTATTGACATGATGATGTAATTATGAGTTATAGTAATGTGAATTACAATTTTCATTATTTATTAATTTTCTTTAATGCATTTAATCAACTATGGATGTTTATTGATCTGATTGATAAATGAATAGAATAAGATTAAAAAGATAATAATATGAAGAAGAAAAAGAATATTGATATTGAAAAGATGAGCTTAAAATTAAGGGTCGCAAAGCTGAGGATGCTCATATAGATGAGTGGCTTTACACTTAGCAATAGGATACAAAACGAGTATATATGTGAAAATGTTGGAGTAATTACAATGATAGATAAGATTAGAAAGAGTTGTCTTAGATGATTTGGTTGTGAAAAATGTCAGTCTTCTGTTGACTCTATTAGGAGAGTAGATGTATTAAATCAAATCTATTTTAAGAAAGATAAAAATAAACCTAAAATAACATGCTTATAAAGTATTAAAAATGATATTTTTATTAAATATAACCAACTTTATAAAATAAAGCAATCATTCCAATTAGATCCTTAATTTGTATAAAATAGAATGCATAATAAACAAAATATAATGTAAAATAAATATTGTTTATTTGAAATGTTTGAATTATCTGATCAAGCTTAAAATAAATACACAAAAATCACTTTTTTTCTATTTAAATGATAGGCAAGAATAAATGATGATAGGCAAGCCGCAAGCAGAATTATTTGAAATACAATGAAGCCAAGCAAATTTTGGATACATTAAAAATGAATTAAATGGGAATTCCAAATTCATCAATAAATTCATTTATATATTCTTTTTTCCATTCAATCAACCAAGTAAAACTTGAAACCTAGATTTTTTTTTTTTTTTTTTTTTTTTTTTTTTTAACTTTGCATTATTTTTTTTTCCAACAAACCAAAAAACCGATCCACAATCCAATTGTCTTATTCCAACGGATTAGATTTTCAAAAAAGCACAGAAATTGAAATAACCAAACCAAAATAAGAAATTCCCAAAAAAAAAAAACCAAAATAAGAAGTTAAAACACTGAGACAAACTCTTGTCAAACACAGTGGAACAATCTTTTTCAACTAACCATTTCTTCAATCCATGTCTACTCTGCACACTAACCAAACTAGTATCAACTGCATCCTTTCCTTCAGTAAGGCGGTGGAGGATAAATTCCAGAGTGAGGTCCTGAATCCAAGAAACCAATTTGTCAGCTTATTTATTTATGGCAAGAAAAGAGAGCAGAGATGGTTCCGACTTCCAGATTCCAAATTACCTGGAGCATGGTAAGGATTTGCTGGTGCAGGAGGGTATGGCTGCGATGGATAGGCGGTGGGCGGATAGGCGGCGGGTGGGTATGCCGGCGGTGGGTAGGTGGAAGATGGATAAGGGGCGGGCAGGTATGTAGATGAGTAAGCTGGATTTGTGGCGGAGTACGCGTTCATCGGGGAAGGGTAAGCCGGCGGCGGAGCATAGGATGAAGAAGTAGGTGGGGCCATGTGCATGTAGGGGGGTGGCGTGCTCATTGGATGGTTTGATTCCGGTGGCTTGGGTTGTTGGTGGCCGTGCTGTTGCTGCTGCTGCTGCTGCAAGGAAGATGGAAGATCGATCGGAGTTTAGATTTTGCAACTTTTGGCAAAGATTTGGAGAGAATGAAGGGGTAACTTACATGTGTGCCGGCGAAGTGCAAGATTAGCTTTACTTCTCCGGCGAATCTGAAAAAGTAGGTGAGGGAGAAACGAAGTGGTTAGGGTTATTATTGGCGTGGAAATGGTGGTGTCGGTGGTAATGGTGATGAAATCTTACTTGCCGGATTTTGTCTGAAGCGTCCAAGAAGAGTCGTCATAGCCCTGGGAGAGTACCTTCTGCAGCTGAATCCTGTGGGATGCGATGTTTCAGACAGGCATAGAGAGAGAGAGAGAGAGAGAGAGAGAGAGAGAGAGAGAGAGAGAGAGAGAGAGAGAGAGAGAGGTTACCGGCCGCTTCCGATGAAGCTGTCAAAGGTGATGGTATTGCTATTCCATACGGCGACGGAGATCTCGCGGAGACCTTCGATTAACGGTATGACGGTCTTCTCCTGGAAGGTGGGGTTCTTCCCACCATCTTCCCTCAAATAATTTCAACCATCAGACACAATAGCAAAGAGAGAGAGAGAGAGAGAGAGAGAGAGAGAGAGAGAGAGAGAGAGAGAGAGAGAGAAGAAGAAGAAGAAGAAGAAGAAGAAGAAGAAGGGGATCTGAGACTGAAGGGGATGGAGGCATATACCGACCAGTACATGTGCGGGTGCGGAACTTGGTGTTAGCGTACTCCAGACAAACGTAGGGATCCTGGCGAGAAATCCATTCGGTATCCTTCAGCCTGCTGCATCCCACAACTTCCGGCCGGAGAAGAATCACCGTAACTCACGCATTTCAATTTCAGGAAGAAGAAATAGACAAAACGAAATAGAGAGAGGGAGAGCGAGGGGTTTCGCCCGATCGGCGGTGTGAAGGAAGAAGAAAAGTACCTGTGACATCGAGAAGCTGACCTTGGATCGACATGAGAGCGCTCGGCGAGGGTCGAACGTAAGGACTAGTTCCCTTCTGCCTTCGACCCGACGATTACAGAAGAAGAGGTGGGAAGTACGGGAAGTCGGTCCACGCCACCGTGCACCGTCCTTGCCTCACCAAGATCTGTATTCTAAACGGCCAGGATCGGTTATTTCCGATCAGTGGGACCCACTACCTTTTCTCATCTCACGTGTTCACGCGGCGCAGCCTAATCAGAATCCCTTTTGCGGTCATTAACTTCTAATTGGCGTATCTTTAAACCTTAATTACTCATTTTAGTTTTAGAAAATTGTCCTCTCATATCTATATCTATACTACTATATAAGTGTAGTTTGAGATTCCACCCAAATACAATCCTAGCCTTTCATTTAATTTATCAAAAATGAATCTCAACCTTTTATTTTATTTATACATTTAATTAACATATTTATTAACTTCATTTATATTCATTTAAATACATTCATTTTATTTATATTTATTGCATTTAAAAAAGAGTCAATTAATGCATTTAATTATATTTTATTAATATAAATAATTAATAAATTACAAACAACACTTATGCAATTTAATACCTATTACATAGTCTCAGATTAAATTAATTTTAATTCATCCGTTCGTTGAGTTTAACATATTTATGTTTCATAAATCTTTCCTCCAAATTAATTTATCCTATTAACATTTCACCTCTTCTAATCCCACCCAGCCATAAACTAAACTCTTCATCTTCGCCTTTTCTTATTGGGAGCAATTCCGAACTTTTATAGATACAGATTTCATTCAAGAAATTGTCAAAATTATGATTGCTCGTCTCTTATGATATTGATTTAGTATTTTTTTTAAATTTTTATATAATAAACAATACAGGAGGATGTAATGCTAGCATGTATAGTACTTTTTAGAATAAAGACCTTAATATCTGAAGGCAGTATTTATTCTCGGAAACTAAGGGAGAAGTTTTCTGATAAATCTGAGCAAAAGAACGAAAAGTGACGTCAGGCCAGAGAGCCACTATGTACGAAGTAATGTGAGCTAAAGATTTATCGGGCTACTAATTTCTGAACTTTCTTTGAACTTAGACTCTAATGTCAGAACGATGGGAGAAATCTATTGAAGACTGGTATAATAAGTCTCATACCTCGAACCTTGAATATCTTGATCTTTCTACTTTTGATAAAATATCAAACAAGAATCTTGCACACAATCAAGCTGTAAATTTTGACCGACTCTTTCTTTCATCTCGAATTCATATTCGTGATAACTATAGAATTTCTGAGAAGCTTGATAAACTTGAAAAAGAGGTTACTTTTCTGAAACGGGAATTACTTGACCTTTGATAGCCAGTCACCCCAATAGTTGTCACGGGTGGTTCTTTTTCTGAATGCTTCAGTTTTGAGGGAATGGACCATGTGGAGTTCGATGAGTCCTTGGAGGGCTTGCTGGTTAGCCCGTTGATGAAGTTGGTGCAGCCTTTGTTCATGGATTGCTGCTTCAGACATTCGGATTCCTCCTTGCTCCATTTTTGTGAAGAACTCGTCCAGGATTTGCTTGTACTCAGTGTAGATATGATAAGTGTGGCTAGCTGGTATGTTGCTTGGTTGGAGTGAGTGATGCACTCCATTAGAGCCTTCTCCACTTGTTCCAGCCAGTTCGTTGTTGGGGGCTGCCATCCTGCAAAAAGTGAGCAAACAAGTCGAGATAATGCGTCAGCTAAAGAGTTATCCTTCCCATTGATGTGTTCAAAGGTAACTGGAATGCCAAGGCCAGTGATAAAGTCAGTGAAGGAGATCCATCTGACTCTGGAAGGTTTATTTTGGGCAGCTTTGTTATAAAAAGATATGATTGCTTGGCAGTCAGATCGGATCAAGAGTTGGTTTTTATCAAGATAATAGATTTTGAATTTGTCAAGAGAGTTCATGACAGCATGAATCTCGGCATCAATAGTGGATTTGGGAGGATTGAATTTTCCACTATCATAAGCACAGATTTGCTCATGACTTTTATTATCAAATTGTTGGGGTTTCCGTTTGCACACCCCTCCCCAACCTTCCATACAGCCGTCTGTTTCAATGATAATAAAACAATTTAAGGGGGGAATAGATAATTTAGGAAGATTATGAATAATTTTCTTCACTTCAGCGACGATCTTCCAATCTTGTGCGTTCATTCTCCTTTCACCAGTGGGGCTTACTTTAGCATAAAGTAGGCCAAGGATTTTTTCCCATGTTTGGGATGTAGTTCCAGGCATAATTGAGGAGTCCTAGCCATGATCTCAGATTTTTAGTTTCTGAAAGGGAGTCTTCCTGGAATTCTGAGATTTTCTCGATGATGTGTTCTTGGAGCTGGATTTTGTTGTTGCCTATGGTTGCTCCAAGGAAATCAATTGTTGAGACCCCGATCTTCATTTTTGTGGGACTTAGAACAAGTCCGTTATCTTTACAGATTTTCAGCATTATTTTTAAATGCTCAGCATGCTCCTGGTTATTTTTGGAGAAGACAAGTATATCATCAATATACACAGCTATGAAATTCTCCGTACCTTTGAAGCAGTAATCCATTCTTCTTTGGAAGACGGCAGGGGCATTTTTAAGTCCAAATGGCATAACAAGCCATTCATACAAACCGTTTGGGACAAGGAATGCTGTCCAGGGGATTGAGTTAGGATGCATAGCTACCTGATGAAACCCACTTTTAAGATCAAATTTGGAATAGACAGAGCAATTTCCTATTTTGTTGATGATGGTATTAATCCCTGGGAGGCTATATTGATCTTTATGCGTATTGTCATTGAGCCTCTTGTAGTTGAATACCATCCTTTCTTTTCCTCGTTCTTCTTTTCCTGTGACTGGGTTGATAGTGGTACCGGAGGATGCCAAGAAAGCTGTAGTCCTGTGCTTGCTTTGACACGGCCTGATTACCTTAAGGTCCAGTAATGCTTTAATATGTCTTTGAAAGGACTCTTGCATTTGTGGAGTCACACGTTTTAATGGTCTATCTTCTATTGTGATGTCTGGATTTTTAATATCCAGTTGACATGTGACCTTGTTTGCCAACCAGTGTTTTATTGGATTATCTCCAATGTATCCAGCTGCTTGTAATTGTTTAATTAATCCTTCAAATTGTCTCTTAAAGGGAGCTGGTATTTGTATTTCATGGGCACTCATTCTTTCGATTTCTTGTGCCATCCCATATTCTTCATCTTCAATACAGGAGGATGTAATGTTAGCATGTATAGTAGTGACATTTTTATAGAAGGTTACCTCATCTCCTTCGATTCGTACGCCACCATGCATAGCTCTGATGAAGTTACATCCAATTAACATTTGAATATCTTCTCCAATTTTCATTGGAAAAGCGTAAGTGTAAGGGATTCTGAATTGTTGGTCTCCTATGACCATCCTTCCTCCTTTAAGCTTTTTATCAGCCGTTGTTTCTGAATTGACACCTTTGAAGTGTACAAGGAATGGATTTGGTTCCAGGGCATCTTGCGGGATCACGGATTGATCAATGCAACAGGTGGTTGCTCCCGTGTCAAGGATAGCAAGAACTTTGAAAGTCTTGACACCTGGAATGTCAAATTCAACGGTTAGCCTTAAAAGTCTATTTGCTGTTACCCTTTTCGTGGTATCTTCAGTAGCAGCGACTTTCTGTGATGTCTCAGGGATTAGAACATTTGCTTCTTCTTCAATTCTTGCTGTAATCTCAGCAAGCTTTTCCCTGAGTTCTGAACATTCTTCTTGCAGATGTTCGTTTTCATCAACCTTCTTTTGTAGATACTCATTTTCCATTTGTAGCCTTGTGTTCTCAAGCTGTAGTTGAAGCAGTTCTTCTGGTTCTGCGGCTCTAAGTGGTGGAACAGCTTTGAGTCATTTCTCCTTCACACCATTTGATGTATTTTGTCTGTTCCAGTACTAGGTTCCTGGGATTGTATTGTACAGGAGTATCTCTTTGTAATGTTAGAACAGTATCAAAATAATTTGGAGAACACATACCGCAGGAGGTGAGATTACATTTAGGACAATGCATCCTAAATTTCTTGTTCGTTTCTCTTTTACAGCAGTGGCACCTTAAATATTGAGGATCAGTGATATCCTCATATTTTTGCCATTCATGTTGGCATTCATATTGGCGTTGAGTTACCTGAACTCTTGGTTGCCAACTTTCAGCTTTTCCGACCCAGTATGTTCGGTCTGTCTCTCGGAAGTAGCAGATCGTCTCCTGTATGGTGTATGCTTCATTAGCATCTTCTCCTTCTGAGATGCTGTATATGGCATCACTTTCTGCTTCTCCTTCGTCGACAGAGACGATTTCGCAATCATCAGGGATGTCAATACCTTCAAATATTGCTACTCTTTTGATACTTTTCTTGTCATTAGGACATTCTCGAGCGAAATGCCCTTCTTCTCCGCACAAGAAGCATTTGCAGTTTTTGTTTCTAATAAGATGCTTCTTTTTCTCAATACGCGCATGGGAGTTATGTGGTTTACCTTTATAGGTAGTTGATCTCCGTATGCCGTATTTCTTTTCAGGCTTTTTGTAATATCCCGGAATAGGGATTTGATTACAGAATTGTAATCCTTTGAGAGCTCTATGGAATGTAGCTTCCTTGCATTCATTTTCAAGGTACCTGTATGTAAACAAGATTCTAGGGATGACCCCTACCTGATTACCAGAATACCTCGTATCGAAAGCCATCTTGATTCGACTTCCAAGATCTCCTGGGAGTTTAGACCAAAATTTTTCAGAACGTTCCGGACTTGTGAACATTTGCCCAGTTTTTGCAGCTATCCTCATGTACTCATTCATGAATTGGAGTACATCCTTCAGGTTGTTGCATGAGAGACGTTCAATGTCTCTATAGGCTTCATCTTGGATGAGTGTAGATCCTTGATAAGGATCTTCTAGCATGAAAACTCTTCGAATTTGGGAGATAATATTTTGAGTACCTTCTCTGCCGTCAGCAGTGTTGATAGTTGTCTGGTACTCATTAGGGAAAGCCATTCTCCATTGCATCCATGTAAGATTTTCGGCTTCACCAAGAAGATTTTCGATAAATTCAGCTTTATCGTTATTATCGGTGAACCCTTGCAAAGATACAAGGTTCTTGGTGATGCTTTCCCATCTTAAGAAGACTTCATCAAATGCTCCCAAGTTGGTAGGAATTGTTAAGATTGCACCATTCTGATGATGTGCAGAGGGGAGGTCCCATTCTTCAGAATAGTTCTTTGATTTGAAGCGAACTCCACGCCTATCATAATCTCCATGATCGGGCCTGGTTGGCCTGTAGGGGTTTTCTAATGAACCATTGGTTCTGGCTGGTGGGTAGGAAGGAGGACCCATTGAAGCATCCATTTGAGGAGGAGTGTAGTTAGAAACTACAGAGTTGAGCTGATGCATTTGTTTCTGTAATTCGAACAGAGCAGGATATTCGAATTCATTGAAAAAAAAAATTGTTTTAAAAAACATTAAGAAAGACAATAAAGAAGGCGTCCCAAACGAAACCTAGGTAACATCATGTGACTCTCATGTGCCTTTGAATGATGTCAAAAGGCTTCTCGCAACTCACTCATAAAGAGTCATTATTTGCACTAAGTAGAAGATAACATTCTAAACTCAAAATCTTGCAATTGTCATGGACTTACCTTACCTTTAGTAGAACAAACGTTTTTTAGTTCAATCTCTTCTTCTTTTCTGCAATTTTTGCTCCCCCTATTATTATTATTATTGATCTTTTATTCAAAGATCATGACAAACATGCTTACCTCACAAATGGCGCCATTGATGGGGGAAGAGCAGAACTTCGTCAGATATGCTATAAGCAGTGTACTTTGTCAAAGCTAAGATGCCTTGTATGACAAGTTATTTGAGCTTATCTCCTGAAATTCATTGTATATGATTGCAATCACCTGACAAGTTACAGACAATATATCTGTCAAATATCACATTATACCATAATCAATCCAGCTGAGAGAGAGAGAGGGAGAGAGAGAGAGAGAGAGAGAGAGAGGGAGGGAAAAGGTCAAAAAGGATAAGATGGCAGCCTGTTTAATATATTTCGACGACATCTTTCATCAATATTATTAACCTATACTGGAAATATGTATGGTATAGATAAACTGTTTTTCCTTCGGGCTTGAAGACCTTCCCATTACAGCTCTGCAGCCTTCCCTTCTCCAGGAAGAAGATGGGATCCGACTTCGCTTCCGTTCCCATAATTGGTTCGCAACTTCTCTCCCTCTCTTTGTGTGTGAATGTATGTGATGCTTTACGCAGCTTTTATTGTCAAGTGCTTACTATTTGAGGATAGATTATTGTGTGCGGACACCGGATGGGAGAACCGTCCAGTCCGCTCTTGGTACCGAGCCTTGATATCGAGCGCGGTATATTTTTGTGGTGACATGACACATTTTTGTTGGTACCTGGACAATGTCCGGACTCCGCACAGAATAAAAATTCCTATTTGAGCCAAGTTCTTTCATCATAAATGGTTAAGAATTAACTTTTCGACAACTTCGTCGAAATTAACTAACATTTAGTAAATTGGTATTAAAAATGATATATTATTTTTGCGGAATGGGCAGTTTCAGCAGCTTTTCTATTGAAAAAAATATAGTTTTTTAAAAGAACTTGAAAGGCAGAAGTTCATTTGTTAAAAAAACTAACATAAATTGCAAATTGTCTGTTTTTTGTTGGATTTATCAGTATTTAACTTTAATTTATGTTTAATGCACATGATAAATATTAATTTATTAGTTGATGTCACGTGGATTTGGGCATAATAGTCAAATTTATAGGATTTACACATTTAACGTATAGATATTACCATTTATTTAATATAACACTTGTTTGATGGCCTTGAAGAAAGTCTGGATGATGATGAGAAAGTTGCAATGGGTCATGATTAGTTTTAGTTGGAGATGAGAAAGTCAGCTTTCTGGTAATGAAGATAATAGCAATAATGCCCTCACCTCATCATCAAAATTGATGCCAACTGAACACAACTAACTCATCAGTGTTAAGATTATTCAGGAACTCTGTTATTGGAGTAAGCTTGATCCAAAATCTATCATATATATATATATATATATATATACACACACACACTTAAATACCTATTTATGATATTTGTATATATATATATATGCATGTTACATGTATGCATAAAAATTTATAAATATACATAAAATTTATATATTTCAGGTTGCTATCAAGCTAACTAGATCTAGTCAAGACAACCTAAAATTAGCTCAAATTGAACAGAATCAAAATTTTGGTTTCTTCCTCACCTCCTCTTGCTCTATAAGTTTCAGCCATAATCAGGGCTACAAATTCCCCTTAAGAAAAATAAACTAATCAAAGCTAACCCTAATAAAAATTAATAGGAGTAATATTTTGTTAAAAAAGATAAGCATTAAAGAACACAGGTTTTGGGTATCATCTCAAACTTGTTGATAAGTACCTTTCGATTTTGATGCACAAAATTATCATTTTATGTTTTTATTTCTCCTATTTTGATTCAATCAAAAATAAAGAGGGAAGCGATACATGTACTTATTTCTCCTAATTTTGATGCAATCAAAAATTATTATTTTATGTTTTTGTTTGTATTATCCTATGATGAAAAATAACCCATGATCATGCTTGGGTTTGGTGCTCTTAGGTAATTTCTCTCCATTGGCTTTTCACTTATGTTGAATTTGCTTCCTTGTTCTTTGGTGGCTAAATGGGTATTTAATTTTGGATTGTTTTTCCTTATTGGGCTTGGCCCAATTCATCCCATGTTGGTTAGTTGCTTGGTGTTCCCCATGCTGTCCTGTTTTCCCTGTTGCTAGCTTTCCCTATGTTAGTTATTTTTCCCCATGATGCTAGTTGTTCGATTTCCACATTTTTGTATTCCTATACTAAGGGCATTAACTCCTCATTAAATGGCTAACTTGATAGGCTTTTATGGGTTGTTTGGGTGGCATAAGTAAGTGATAAATTTATGACCATTCCCCACCCACCCACCCACCCCCTCTTTCTTCATATATATTCCACGGTTTTCCCTTCCATCTGTATCTTTCTTCTCCAAATATTGTGAGTGTAAGGTGTTTTTGTGTCTCGTTTGGGCTGACCTGTTGAATGAAATAAAAAAAAGAAAAAGATCATGCATACCTGTCGTCGTCATCCCGCGCACGTTCGAACGTCGCTTCTTCACACGTCTTTGCCTCTCTCTCTCCACAATCTCCTCATTTGTCGTTAAATACCCGAAAGAATGAGGCTGCTAGTTCTGACTCTCTCCCAAACACGCCACTTGTTCGCCTCCTTCGTGACCATACAACTTCGCTCCTTCGATCCGACGAGAGAGAGAGAGAGAGAGAGGAAATTTCCTCTCTAACCTAGAAGAGCCCGTCTCCTTCGGCTCCTTTGTGATTGCTCGACTTCGCTCTGACGTTGTCCCTTCCAATCGGAGTGGAAGTTACGACTTTCCGATCGGAAGCAACAACGAAGAGCTCGCTTGTTGTGAAGGGGATTTTCTCCCTTTTCACCGCTTCTTCGGCACCCTCGTGGTCGTCCGACTTCGCACCTCCAACGACTTTCTCGTCCCCTTGGATCGAAAGTCACAACGTCTTGATCGGAGACAACAATCGGAGCTCGCTCACACTGTGAAGGTAACTTTCGTCCTTTCGTGCGCTTCTCTCCTTCCTTCGACGACGTTCCCTTACCTGCAGGATCAGAAGTTACGACATTTTGATCGGAAGCAATAACGTGAGCTATTATGAAGGTAGCTTTCTACCTTTCACGCGCTTCCTCGACTTATTCCCGTGAATCCGCCGAACCAGAGAGGAAAAAAGGGGGGGGGGGTTATTTTAATTATGTTCTTGATTAACTGATTAATGTTAATTATAATTAATTAAATAATTATCTTTATTTATAATTAATGTTAAATTATTTTAATTATAATTAATTATAATGAAATATTAATAATTATTATTAATTATATTTAACTTTTAATTATCATTAATTATCATTGATTATAATTAGGCATAACTAATTATAATTAATTGTAATTAATAAATTAATTATAATTAAATAGTTAACTATCATTAATTTTAATTAATTATTTGGTTGTTACTAATTATAATTTATCTTAATTAAATAACATTAATTATAAATAAATATAATTGATGAATTAATGTTAATTAAATAATTAATTATTTGTTAATTGCAATGCAAATAAAGCTGCCCCTTGCCTCATGCCACGAGCCTCCCCGCCGGTCTTCAAGATAAAAATTTCTAACTTAAATCCCATCCTCGATGCGCCTGACGCGCCGGTGGACCCATATACGCGCTCTTGTAGCATAGTGGGGGGAAACCCAGTGCAACAGGTGCAACGAGGCGGGTAAAGCCCTATACACGCTCTTGTAGCGTGGTAGGGATAGTCCTCGACCTCGACATTGACACTGCTACGCAATGTATAATGTTCTAAATCTCATTCTCGACGTTTGTAGTGGACCGGAGAACCACCTATACGCACTCTTGTAGCACGGTAGGAGGGAGCCCGGTGCGACGCATATGGCGAGGTGGGTAAGCCCTATACACGCTCTTGTAGCGTGGTGGGAAATGTCACTGGTGTTCTTGTACGGGTACCGTTGAAGGCCTCATACACGCTCTTGTAGTATGGTGGGATGAAAATATGTATGGCCGTAGTGTTTAAGGACACCTACCATACACGCTCGAGTAGCGTGGTGGGAATGCCTAGCTCCCCTACATTTCCCCCAAACTTGGGATATGTTGGGGTGCTGCCGAAATTTTCACTGAAATACTTAAAGCTTGAACAATAAGAAGACCTCACTTGGGCAATAATATAGAAAACTCGTACTTGGACATAAATGCATAGAACTTTAACTAAATGTGCAGAGAACTTGTACGAACAAGAAAGGATTTAGACTTGAACTAAACTACAAGAAATAGAGCCCCAAATCCTAAAATGCACAATCAAGACCAAGATTCATATGCCAAATAACAATCTAATAAATTCAAACAAATACAAGCAAACAACAAGGGACTCATGACGAACAGGACCTCGATGTATACAAGCAATGAATAATAGTTAATTCACAGCATCTGAACAATCACAAACAAATCTTAATTATCAAGACCTATGAATACATGAGACAAGGTACATAATTGATGATACTGATGAATGCAATAAACTCCCACAATAATCCCTGCGAGGTCAAATGCACTATACTTGCAAGCAAATAGCAGTCAACTGCAAAATGCACGGGTATCTTCCACCTGCATTAATGAAGGCCAAGATACGAACGCAACAATTCTTTCAATGCATATGAATAATGATATTCAATCAAGTCCAAATAATATCAATCCCCTGTAAAGAATATAAATGTCTTCTATACACAACAATGAAGAACTCAAAACATAAGCAATATTGCCTGTAGATTGAGATGGCAACACGAGCAATTGATAGCGGTAGACCCGTCCTTGCAAACAAGTATAATCAAGGGAAATTATTCTTCTACGAACACTTCCAGGAAGTCGTAGTGGATACAACAAGTCCCTGTAGATGAACATAAGCTACTTGTGGATAACAACAATGGGTATGTCGTAAGTACAACGAACCCTTGTGGACACAAGTATAGATGTCACCTACGACAATGGTGATTAAGATCTACGACGTCGGGTACAAGGGAAACTCGACGTATGTAAAAGGACACCTCCTGGAGGAATAGAAGAGGTGTTTGAATAAATTAGAACTAAACTTCATGCTGTTCTAAAATTCCTTCTTAGTCCTATACTTAAGAAGAAAACAATCCTGGTGTTCACAAACACCGAAAGTAACAAGTCTATTCACTGAAGATCTTAAAAGGAGTCCCTTTCAAGGCAGTGGCCACAGATTTCAAGAAGGATCTCCCGGTGAATGAGAAAAAGGAGTTTCCATCAGAACATAAGGCAGGAGATTCGTTAGTGCATTACAATCTACCTGTATAAACCATGTTAATTTCAAGCATTTTCAAATGCCTCCCAAAAGTCCATTCAAAATCCAAAAATTCTAAAGATCATCCATAATCCCAAAATTCAAAGATATTTAAAATTGAAATAAACCATCTAATGCTTAAAGTAAAAACTCATCCACCCTCCACAATAGTTTGTCGAGGTGGACAAATTTAAAAATACTTCAGCTCACATAGAGCTTATGTCTAGTAGAAAATATCACTAGGATCCATTGTCAAATAATCTCCTGACAATAAGGACGTGGTCCGTGTTCTCTAACCGGCGGTCTGTCAAATGGCACCGCAGGATAAACGGTTATGACGACCCGGGGTCCTCTGAACCGAGTGGTTTTGCCACCAAATGACATCACGAAATAGCGGTTATGGCCAGAGCCAATACACTCCCTAGTGGCATCAAATCCTTGAGATATGAATCCATAGGATATGATCGATAGGGTACAAAGCCCTCTATCAGCTAAGGTAGATTCAAATTTGTCCCCTTAGGCAAACATCCAACCCAGGTCTACTAGATCCCCTTGGACGAAGCAACCCATGGCTGCCGAAAAGGATCCTTCTGTCAGGTTGGGTCGACTACCTCCTCTAACTAAGTAGACCATGGACCACGATGGCCCGGGACGACAGAATCATGGGATCTTAATCGGGTCCATCATCCATTCCCCAACCATCTGCTTTAAGTGAAAGATGGTGAAATTTCTATTCTAAATATTATAATTTTCAAACATCCAAACTGTTCCCAAATTCCCAATTTCCAATCAATTTCCAAACCCAACTCTCCAATACCAATGTCTATTACTGCTACTATATGCCAGATAACACGTATCTCTACGTATCTGATTGACGACTAGCCTTAATCGAAAGTTCTCTCTCATGATTGAGAGGGGTAATTAATTATAGGGGCTTGCGCCTACAGGAAACCAGAACTCAGATCTTAAAATCCTCGCAAAATGAGAGTGAAATCTCTGGGTAGTGTCTTATCTACAAACCCATCTGCCTTCCAAAATTTACCCCGGAACTTAGTTCGTTAAAACTCCCTCGCTAGAAGAAAAAACACAATCAATAGTGCGGGCGGGGAGGCCGGGGCCGAATTTTCGGAGCCCACATTGGGTTTTTCCACATTAAATCCTGATGTTCTTTATTTTCCACTGCTTTTACATTCTTGCTTTTTCTTCATTGAGTTTAGTTGTAGGATTTGATTACTTACTAGGATTTTGAGCTCATTATATGTGTTAAATGATTTCAAGTCAGGGCAAGGAAGCATGAGTGTGAGATTAATCAAGATCCTTCAGGTTTAGGTTCTTGTTCCTTTAACTATTCTTTTGTACTCAAGACATAATAGATATGATATGATTATATAAATCCTGAGTAGTGTATATGATTTTTGAGTCAATTAATATAACTATGTATTGATGTTTTGAATTATAAAATTTGTTTATACTGGTATTTATATTGATAAAAAAAAATTGATAGCTTTGGTTTTCATTTATTAAAAGATATTTCTAAATTAGATTTCGAAGAATGACATAAAGTAATGAATGCACAAGGCTATCTTAAGTAATGAATCTGCATAAAGTAGCGCAAGTGATGTGATTTCTTAGGGGGTGAATGATTGCTTTATATGTGTGAGTAATATGATTGCTTGCATGTAAAAGTTGCATATAGGTTTGCATGTTACATGTATAGATGAAGCATGTAAGATGAAGATGGTGTTGGCCTTTGGATGTAGGCATTAAAGTGCATATAACATATATGAACATTGCAAAAGATGATTTAGAGTTAGCTCTCTAATAATTCATGTTAATGTTGCATGTGATAGTAGCCTTAGTTGAGGAAAGGAACATTGAATTGTTTAATCCTTTTTGCAAGTAAAGGTCGTTGGCAAAAATCAACCCATAATCAAATAAAAAAAATGAAAAACTTATTAAATTTCTTTCTTAACCTATTATCACTTGAGCTACTGAAATTAAAAATATCCACCATACTCCAATGTTTAATTACCAATTTTATGTAATATCTGTTGCTGCTATTATTAGTCTTATAATATTATTCATATGGCTTAATGTGATTGAATCATGCACTCGCTATACTTTTATTAAATCTATGTAATTTCCTCAGCTTCATAAGTTTCTCAAGTTTTTTACTATTTTCCTTGTAAAACATGTGACTAGTTTTTCTTCTTATAGATATTAGTCCTCTTGTGAGTGCGTCCCATGATCTGAATCTAGCAGAAGATAGTGGAGTCCAAAAGGTTGCAAGAGAGTTGGACAATGCTTGTAAAGAGGCTGGTTTCTTCTATGTGGTAATTTTCATGCTTATCTTCTAATATCAGTGCTACTAACAAAAGCTTGTTATGACCAGTACCTACTAATGAACTATAGTGTTGCATATTTGATTTGACTTTCGATGTTTGAGAACTAAATGAGTGAAACCAATGCATATCACCTCTTAATATTGCAATATTTTTTTAGTAGGGATCCATTATTTCTTTCAGCATATCACCTACTCTTTATAATTATAATCAAATCTAGGAGGTTCCATATAAACGTCTATTCTAAGTTTTCACACAAGAAAATTTTTATATTAAATTATAGCAAACTACAATTTAAACAATAAGCTATAAAGATATTATAACCTAAATTATATTCATTTAAGCCACAAGTGCAAAAGTCAATTAAAATATACTCTTTTATAACAAACTTAGATTTGTATCTTTACAAGACCTAGTCAACCGTACATTTTAAGGTATATGCCCACTACTAATTTCTTATTTTTCTCATAAATTGAAAACTTACCTAACATCATGTCTTTCTAGTACACTCATTTCTCTTGCATGGATTATACCTACTTCTTATCATTAAGTGCCTATTAAAGTATTTGTTGAATGTAAATATAGCAAAAGGTGGAAATGAAGTTTTATGTTATTAAGATACTCCACCAAAGAATACAAATTAGGCAGTTATATTTTAGGTGCAACTTTTGATTATTTCTCTTAATAGCAATCGGTGCATCTATTTCAGGGGACAAGCACTACAAGAATGTTGCCCATTTCCAACCTCCAAACTGCTCATAAGGAATATTTTTAATCCCTACTTTTAGTTTGCGACATAAGTGGCAGTCATAAATGTTGTCATCAATATCTTCATTGCAAATGAATTTTACTATTGGTAATCCATCTCCATTAGGTTGTTGTCAATGCTTTAAAAAAATATAACTTACGTTAAAACTATTTTATGATTAAGACAATCATAAATGGCTAAATATCCGCAACTTACATTGGTAGCAAACGTGATACCTATAATGATGCATTTAACAGTTCTAGTCATTAACAATTTTCATGAAGATAGCTTTTTGTTGCTCGCCTTACAAGAAACTACCTACAAAATTTATCACAAATAACCTATAAAATCTAACATGCATACAACATCATTTACATTAATCATAGTATACATTGACAACAACTCAAGCAAATAGTGGATGAGTTAATTATATAAACAAAACTTAACATAGAAGATCAAATATATCCACCCTTCAAAAAAACAATATAAATTAAAATGTGATATTGTACACAATATTATTAGTAAGACATTTTAATAAGAAAAACATATAAATCCAAAATAGAAAAAAAAAATCCTAATCATCATCCTTTTTCTCCCCTTTATCATCATCATCATCATCATCATCTTCATCTTCATCTACCTCTTCCTTCCTTACACTGGTCCTAAGCTCCCTATTGTTATATAACTCCTTTAGCACGAATTTCAAAATCTCACCAACCTCCTTTCTCATGATTGGTTGCTCTTAAATTTGGCTACCTCTAGACATATATGACATGAAAGGGACTCAACTATGTGTTATTCTCAGCATGACTATCAAAGTCATATACTCTATCTTTGATTAGGTTACATATAACCTTTACTCATTCTTTAAAGTCAAAACTCTGGCTTATTCAAATGCTTGCGAATTGTGATAGTCATTTATCACATAAAATCCAAATAAACTTCTTATTTTAATCATGAAACTTTCATTTTTGAAGGTATGCAACCATTCATCTCTCCATTCTTTTGTATAACAAATCAAAAACATCAAAACCTATCACATATAAGCACCACTTAAGGTTCATTTATAGCAGCAATTTGAAAATGATGTGAAACGCACAAGCAAGGAGCTTTCCCCCTATGTGCATAGATAAAGAAGATGCTTCAATCTAGACAAGGGGTGAATTGCTACGGGCCATTAGTATAACTTACTTAGAGCCTTCATGAGTTAAGATAATTGATCATGGTCAATTTTAATGCATTAAGTTGCCTATTATAATTAATCTTTTGTTATATTGCTTCCTAGTTTTTGATCATTTAAATTTATATATTTTTTCAAACTTTCCATTTATTTTAAAATGATGACATTTATTTTAACCATGACACTAACAAACCGCTTTAAAATATTTATAATAGACTCCTCATAAACAATATTAGTGGTGTTATTGTAAAGAATGGTAGATGTCATTTTTAACAAGTTATAAGAGAGCGCTAAAGTTGGAAAGCATCTTTTTAGTAATTCAAAAATATGATTAAGATAAAATTTTCTTTACTATCAAACTGATTTTTGTTTCTTTTGGATTTGAACCTATTCTAGCTAGGTGACAACTTATTTCTTCCTTCAGACAGAGATATTATTAGTAGAATTCAAGTTGGATGGTCGAAGTGGATGAATGCATCGGGCTTTTTGTGTCATAGAAAAGTCCCCCTTAGACTTAAAAGGAAAATTCTATAAGATGGTGGTTTGACTTGCAATGCTTTATGGTGCAGAATGCCGGCCATTAAAAGAGAAGCATAATATTAAGTTAAGTGTTGCAGAGATGAGAATGCTCAGGCGTATGAGTGGCTTTACTCTAAGAGACGAGATACGAAATGAGCATATACGTGAAAAAGTTGGAGTAGCTCCAATGGAAGATAAGATTAGAGAGAGTCACCTTAGATGGTTTGGTCACATAAAATGGTGGCCTTCTGATGACCCAGTTAGGAAAGTAGATGTACTAGATTTGACTTATGTTAAGAAAGATTGAGGTAAACTTAAAAAGACTTGCTTGAAAAATAGTAGAAATGACCTTTCTTTATTAGATTTAAATGAGAATTTAACTCTTAACAGGACAAAATAGAAAAAAGGATTCATGTAGCCAACCTCACATAGTGGGATAAAGTCTTGATGATGTTGATGTTGTAGAACTAATTTCATAATTTATTATCATTATAAATAGTTCATTCTATTCGGAAAATATAAAGGATTATTATTCTAAAGTTCCACATTCATTGGACTTAGAATTGACTCAGTGATAGTTACAGATTATTTCTCAAGAATTCTAAAATTTCAAAGCTGGAAAGTAGCTAAGAAGGCATCAATGTTGAAAAAATTAGAAAATCAATAATATATAGAAGTCGGTTAGGCTGATGGGTTCTCTAGGATTGCACAATGAAAGATGTAGAAGAGCAATATTGAGAAATGAAAGGCTTTTTAGGATTTAGCAATAATTGAAAATAAAGGTTATAAGAGATTAGTAATGCAGGTTGATAAAGTTAAAGTAAGATGGAGAGCAAATGATGGTGATCAACAATAAAAGCATATAATTATGATGAAAAAATAGAGAATAGATGGAAACGCTGCTCTGATACAATGTAAGAAAATATTATTTTCACTTTTTTGCCTTATTTGGCCTCACAACCACTATTTTTTGTTTTGTTTTCAACTACTTGGCTTCCTAATTTTGCCACACCCACGCTCTCACTTAAAACAAATCGATTATAAGAAATCAATATTTAGAGATGTAAAATTGATTATAACTAAGGACTATAAAGAATGATTTTATTATTAAAGGTTGCCTAGTCATATTTACTTCTTAAAGATATGCGACCATAATTAGAAATTCAACTATAATAGTGCCTTTCATTACTGGTTTTCAAGATCCTAAATTCTAGGTAGATGATAACATGAAATACACTATAACCTCCAAAGTAATATCCAAATTAGAAGTTAAACTTTAAAATATGCAGCATAAATAATAATTGAAAATCTGATACAAAAAAAATTTCTTTCATGGAATAACTAAATCTAGAATGTACAAATTATACATTATGCCTTTTTTATTTTGCATTTATTCTTTTTTTTTCCCTTGGTTATGGTGAAATTTAAAATTTTCAGATTTGTAGCCATTGAGAAGGGTCAAGTTCTTCTTAATGTAGCACACATTCCATGTCTAGATGTGCAACTTTATTATTTCCTTGAATCAGAAATGAGAGAGAGAGAGAGAGAGAGAGAGAGAGAGAGAGAGAGAGGAATGGAGCAAAAATTAAAAATAAATAGAGAAAAACAGATTTATTAGTCCAAGCATATACAAAGAAGATGATAAGAATACAGGATACATAAATAAAATATGTAGTTAGAAGAAAAGTTAAAAAATAAGAACGGTAAAAGTTAAGCACGAAATTTTTATAAATTAAAGTTAATATCTTATTCATCAAGTGGACACTAAATAATTGAATAAGACATTTGATGATGAAGACCATTAGGTTAGTTTTTAAGAAAATATCTAACTTATTTTATATACTTTAACAGAAGGGGCATGGAATTCCAGACTCACTGCTAAATGAAGTTAAAAATGTTGTACAAAATTTCTTTGATCTTCCATACGAAGAAAAGGTCAAGATTAAGTTGTCTCCGGCGACTGGATACAGGTTTCTATTCTCATTTTAGTTATCATTAAGCTATACGCATGCAACAGTTACGAAAAGTAGCTATTGGGTTCTTAGAGTTTTATTTCATATTATGATTTATTTTGCATTCTTATGCATCTATTTCACTTAAATGATTAGAGGTTATCAGAGAATTGGAGAAAACATAACTCTTGGAAAACAAGATATACAGGAAGCTATTGATGTAAGAATGTATTTGTCATAGTTTATTCTAGTAATTTCATCTTGAATTATGTGAGTTGTGTACTGAACACTTATGTAGTGACAACTTGCTATTTTTAGTGCTATAGACCAATGGAACCTGGAGAATATGGAACACTTGGTGAAACGATGGAAGGGCAGAATTTATGGTAAAGAGACATTGCTTTGAGTTTAGATATTTTCAGGTTTCAGTTCCTTCTTTTAATCTTAGTTTTGAGAACTTTATATTTGTAATTTTTGTAGCCATCTTACAGTTTTTGTTGATGGGTTCATCTAAAAAGCTATTTTTCCACTATTTCCCAAATAGATTGTCTAATAAAAGTTCTTTTGACTAATTATAGTCGTTAATTTAGCTTTAATACTGCTATAAAATTAGAATCACTTTAACTTGAATTAAAATCAATTAGTTGACTTGAGCCATCACATTCCTCCTTCAAAACAACATTGATGTCGAAGGGAATACCTTTATTCAGCTTGATTTCAATTTAGGAATTTTTGCGTCTTCCTTATTCATAGTACTTTTAAAACGTATTAAAAAGGTTTAGTATGATGTTTTGAGGCTTTTTTTAACTTTTTTTCCTTAAAGTAAGAGCTGTCCTAGATTTTATTATGGAAGTCCTCTTTCTAGCCAGTGTCATTAACATATGATATTATCTACAGCTTTTGGATCTTCCAAGGATGCTTCTTCACCATTATGAGTTACCTAGGTTGGCAAGGTCGTTGTTTTTCCTAGACTGTTAATGGTTAAGGTCACTACTTCTTCTAAACTTGCAGTTTGGCAACATATCAGCTTCTTATGTACTTGCCTAGTATTGTTTAGTTGTTGCATGTACTAGTGATGGATCCTTCTAGCATCCTTTTTTTAATTCTTTCGCTTGGAAGATCCTGAGATGATTAATGTTGTAGTTGTGTGATTAAGGAACATGGTTTAATATTCTTTGGTAGCTCTTCACAACTTTCCTTGGCTTGCTCGACTTCTTTGACTTCGTTGAATATCACTATTGACCTGAAAAACAACATAATTTTCCATCTTTGACAAATTCATATTTTTTTCTCTTTTATAGTACCCAAAATCTTTATCCTGTAGCGTACATCTAAATGAACTAAATTATAGGTTCCTTGATTTATATATTATCAAATAATGACAAATTTAATGCATATCTTTGTGACCTTGAACTTTGTCATTTCTAAACTTATTTGATCTCGATGTAATCTCCACATACTTAGCCATATATAAATTCAAAATGGTATTTAAATTCCAAACAAACCACCATCTTGCCTCATAATCCTTGAAGATTTCTTTGAACAAACAATCAAAATTTAAAGAAGCCCTCAGCCCATTCTTACCAACTCCCATTCAAATAAAAAACCCAAACCACCCTTAAGTCCTCATCGGATTTTTCTCCGGAATGGAAAAAATAGATGATCCTTACCATTTCGACAGCCAAATCACATCATCTCTAAGATTCATGTCAGACATCATGCCTCTAGTGATGATGAATAAAATTTACAAAGGCATTGGGTCCAAAAATAATTCTGACAAAGATTTAAATTAGGCAAACATATTTTCGCCAATGGCTTTGATTTTAATGCCAATAGTGTTCTATGTTGGATGCCTGCTTGGTGTCAATTTGATGTGCTTTATCATGGAAGATTAGTGTGACTAATCATAAAGATGAGTAAGGAAAATAAAAAAAGAAATAAAACCAAAAAGCCTCATGCATATACGAGGAGATATCATCGCTCAAATTCTTTGAAGTTTCATATTTAAGCAAAAAATCAAAATTTGGAATACACAAAGAAGAAAGCCTCTACATCGCAAGAGAAATTTCATTGATGTCTTAAATCATCTTATTTAGAAATCTTGAACATATACATGCAAGGCATAACAAACTACTAAACGAATTAACAATAAATAAATTGTCAAAAAGCGCCAACAAATTATTAAAAAAATTGCTATTAAATTTTAAGTCATTAAATAAAGTAATTTTGTTGAACAAATTAAAAAAAAAAAGAAAAGGGAAGGAAAAAAATGGAAGGGATGCCTCCTTTGACGAAACAATGCAACAATTCAGTTCTACAAAAGAAAGAAGAAAAGAAAAAAAAAAAGAAAAAACTTACGTTTCGCTCTTGGTCCAATTCCTGCAGCTCGACTCCAGCATCCTCAGCCTATCCCACCTCCACACCTTCCTCATCAACGCACAACATCGCACCCTCAGAACCCTAATGCGGCCCGTCCCCGCATGTCCGTCGCCTGCCCATCATGGCTCTCGTGCTTCGCGCTCACGCTACCGGCTCCGCACTCGCCCAAGTCCCCACATCCTGCACTCATGTGGCCCGTCCGCGACCCGACTAATAGCCTGTGGCCTGGCCTCCCCTGCTCGCATGCGCCGCTGCCCATCCCGCGACTAAGTCCACCCATGTGACCGGCCCATACGCCTGGCCGCATCTACTTCCCTCCTGTCCAGTTTCGAACAACTGCCAGTGAGTATTTGATAGAAGAATGTTGGTATATAAAAAAAAGATAGAGAAAGAAGAAAAGAATAAAAGAAAAAACTTGCTCCGCCTTCTTAAAACCTCAAATAGGTTTCAGTATAGCATAACAATTAAATTTGAAACATATTAAGATTGTGTTCAGCTGCTAGGAATTTGAATGAAAGGAATTTAAAAAATTTTGAAATGCTAAAATCAACGGCTTCAGATTTATAACCAACCAACAAATTGTTGAGATTTCATTTCACTAATTCATGTTCCTTCAATCCAAAAAAAGCCTAAGTGTTTCTGTGTATCACAAGCTATGTTGACCGCCAATATGAGAAACTATACGTCAAATGACCATGACTCAAGTTATCTGTCTGCTCTCTAACTAAACAAAGCATATTCTTCAGTATGTTTTCATGTGAACTATACTGATATTCCGCTAGCAACTTCTAGCCTACAGAAGCACCCTTGAAATATAATAATTTCAGCACATGTCCGCAATGGATAAGTTCTATATAACATATTGATGATTCATGTAATGATTTTAAGTTCATCTAAAACCAATCCATTTTAGTCGTTTTGGTTGTTTTTTTAAATTGGAAACAGTCCAAAACTGGATAAAAAATATACAATTTTATACTTAGATATACTTACTTTCATAACTTTATATATGTACCTTATATTTATTATGTGTTTTCAAGGGTTTCCAATTTAAGTTACAAAATATTTATTTAAAATATTTCTGAAACAGGGGACAGTAACTGAATGCCAAAGCTTCCAGATTGCCAATCTAAAACTTTGCATGCGACTCCAAAATTTAAAAAAAATATATATTTATTTTATTATTATTATTATTATTATTTGTGCACTGCAGGCCAGAGTATCCTCCAAATTTCAGATCACTCATGGAAGAATATATAATCCTTCTGAAAGGTATACTTCACGTCATAATTTTAAACTAAAAATCTCATCCTTTATTTGATAACCCAGCGGATTTTTTGAGGAAATGCAGAGCTTGCAAAGAAGATAATGCGAGGAATTGCCTTAGCATTAGGTGGACCTTCAGATGCGTTTGATGGTGAAATAGCTGGCGACTCGTTTTGGGCAATGCGTTTAATAGGTTACCCAGGATCATATGATGCCACAAGTCAGAGGATAAAATGCAGTATTGGATGGTAGGACAAATAATTGATAAAGTATTAGGTGTTATTTCAATTAATAATTGAGAAACCTAATACTTTGTTCTTTCATCTCCCTTTATCTTCCACATGTTCAAAAATAAATTCAGTGGAGCTCATTCAGATTATGGTAAGGTTTTTATCATTACCAGAAACAGGGATTTTTTATTAGATGAATCCCAACTTTAGTTGCTACAGCCTCACTCGATTGTATTATCCCTTTCTCAATGTTATCATCATTCAGAATATCACTTCTTAGAAGAAGACAGGTTTAATTAAGAGAATTTTATTGCAGGCCTTTTGACATTGATTAATCAGGATGATAACGTTGATGCACTTCAGGTATGGTTTTATGTTTTAATGAAATTTTCAGCAGTTATTTGAGATGCAATGAACATTCACATTTTGGTAGCTCTTGTAAGTTGTAAGATGATGACTTGCAAGAACCATCAACAATATTTTCTAAGACATTGTTAGTATAACCAATTAATAGTTGTGGACTGCGGACAACTCCAGGAGGAATACAAGGGGGTTAGGAAGAAGATCAAAGAAAGAGGAAGAAACAGATAAGAACAAGAGTTTTTATACTCTTCATTTTCTTATCCAAGCTACAACTATCACCTACCAATTCCTCTAAAACCCAGAGAACTACAAGTGTCAAAATACCCTAAGAACCTAAAAAGCTTATCCAATCATCCACTCCCATGAGAATTAATTTGTAGATTTTAGAACTACTTTCTCTTATTAACCTAACCAGACCTACCACTAACCACCTACCATGTGATAGTCTTTGAGCCATGCCGGTGCTTTGCTTTCCCTCCTTTCTTATGGGCTAGTTGTCCGCAACTTTGGGTCTTGGTTGATTGCGTTTATATCAATTTTGTCCTTGTTGATAGAGCGCCCTCCTCCAAGTCGATGTTTGGATATGAGTCATGTAGCTCTTAATTGCCAATCCAAGATGCATCTTCTGGTGGCATATTTTTCCATTGTCCAAGGTGTTGTCATTATGATTTGACAACTTTATATACTTAAACTGAAACTGTTTTCTTGTTGTACAAGGGATGGTTTGCCGGTCTTTGGGTGATAATGGCATTAGGTGCAATTAGTGATCTTCATGATATGTTTTGAACACTAATATAAGAAACATTGGATGCATGCGAGAATCTTGAGGTAGTGATATATTGAATGCCACTATGCCAATTTGTTCCTACACATGAAATGGGTCGAAGAATTGAGCTTAGAGTCTCTTATTTCTAACAAATTTGGTCATATAGTTGTAACTTTATTAAGAATAGAGTTTAATTGCTTAAACTATTTTGGATCAGATTTGATTCTTATTTTTTCAAGAATGGTGGCTTCCACAAAATCCAAATTTAAGGTTACCACAAAGTTATAAATGGAAACTTATACAAAGTCCAAATTAGAAGATACCAAAAAGTTTTAAATAGAGGATATCACAAAGCCCTAACTGAAAACTACCATAAAATCCTAAACGCAGACTATCACAAATCCTAAATAGAGTCTACCATAAAAGTCAACAATGGTAGCTACAAAAATCTTCAATGATTGCTAATTGTTAATGTTACAAGGTTAACGCATGCAATTCTCACAGGTTTAGCAATCACATAAAAGAAGCAACACAGAGAGGAGAGAAAAGACGAACATAGAATAGGGGTATCATCTAAGAAAGAAATGAAGACTTTTGTGTACTTGCAAGTGGAGTTCATCTTTTAAAGAGTCTAACCTTCATATTTGTAATAGATGACAACAATTTCTGTCAGCTAAGCAAAATGATATCTTTGTCCATATCTCTAATTTTGTATGAAGTTTATGCATCTGTTTTGAAGCTCAATGAATTATTTGACCTATGGTTTGGTCATGCACGTAGGCTTAATATATGATGATAAAATCATATCCTAGCACTCTAACAAGAAAATATTGTTGCTCTAGAGTTTGGATGACTTGCGCCATTAGTTTTGATATGCTTTTTTTTTATCAATTTAGAGAGTAAATTATGATGCCAATAACTATTGATGCTAATTGGCTTCTGTGATGGCAAACACCTTCGGCACATAAGTGCTAGCTTATAGCATTTTAATATTTAATTTTATGCTGAAGGATGCAATCAATTTACTTTCCTGGCATAGAACCACACCAACAATGATCCTAGAAGCATCTGTGTCTATGGTAAATGGCTAGGTGAAGTTCGGCAATTTGAGCAAAGTGGAGCTAGTGTTAGCTTTAGCTTGTTGAATGAAATTTTTGAATTGAACATCCATCTTAAGTTGCTTTTTGTAAGCATTGTCAATGGATTTGCAACTCGAACGAAGCCCTAAACAAATTTTCTACAGTAATCAATGAGGCCTACAAAAAGCCTCAGAGCTTTGATTGTCTTGGGAATTGTAGTGAAGTATGGCTTGGGTTAGACCACTTCCACAAAGATGGTGTGGCCCAAGTAACCAACTTGTGATTGACCAAGGGAACATTTTGACAATTTTAGATGTGTGGTAGTCGTGAAGGCAAAAGAAATGATACTCAAATGGTTAGTGTGATTGTGAACCGAGCTATCATATTGTAGAATATCGTCAAAATAAATCATAATGAAATTTTTGGATAGGATTGTGTTCATTATGCCTTAATGTTAATGGCATATTGGTGAGCCCAAATGGCACCAATATAAATTCAAAGTGCCCTTCATGTGTTTGAAAGTCGATGTTGTGAATATCTTCATTTGACATTCAAGCTTAAAGATATTTAATGTGCTGGTGGAACTTGGAAAGATTGTTTCCCAATCTAGTTCATCAAGCATTTCATTGACAATTGGAATTATAAATTTGTGTGGGGATGTTTATTGTTTTAAAGCTTTGTAATTGACAAAAGATGAAGTTTCTCATTTATTTCAAACAAGTAAAACAAATGATGAAAGGAGCTCTTAATACATTTAATGATGCCATCTTGAAGCATCAATTAATCAATTTTTTTATGGCCGTCTTTTGGAAATGCAACTATCCATAGGGTTAAACATTGATGGGTTGTGCTCTATGCTTTAAATAAACTTAATGATCTTTTGTGCAATTTGGTGGAAGATGGTGAGGTTTGTTGAAGCGGTCTACATATTGTTGTTACACTTGTTCTTTTGTTGCATTTGTTACTCAAATTTGTTCTTCGGTGGTTGTTCTGAAAGTGTTGTTAGATGAAAGTATGATGTGATGAATCTCTGAGTAGATATTTTCTACGATTGGATATAATAAATGGCCTTTATATCCATTTCATTGTTGTTTAGTGGCAATCAGGTTCCTCGCGATGTAAAAGTCATGGTAAGAAAATTGAACTTAGTGAGGATATTATCTAATTGTTGCATCCATTGCACGTGCAATACGAATTATGTACCCAGGATTGTTAGGATAAAGAAGTTCAGTACAAATGGATGATATTAGAGGAACAATGTTGTGTTGTAGCATTAACTTTTACATTTCAATTTTTACCATTACCAACCTATATTTTAAAGTTGGTGTTGATATAAATACTAATTTCAAGAATTCAATAAGGTTTTTTTGAATTAGGTTATGTGTTCCACTGTTAGTTAAAGCCTAAACCTACTTGGTAGCTAGGAGACCATCTAAGCGAAATGTGTGTGAGTTTAGTTGTTCGTCTAATGCATAGAGATAAATTTCTAGTTTTCAGGATTTGTAAGTTTCATTTCTGACCTAGTAAGTAATGGTAGATTGTTGTCATCCTGTGGATTATCCAGGGTGAAGCATCGCGTTTGGGTAGTAGGGAAAACATATTGCCTTTATAAAT